GACATCACGGAATGTTGGCCTAAGCGCGGAGGGATGCGAGGACCAGGCTTACAGAAGCTCATCGTTCGCCGAGAACAGGGGTTTATAAAACCATTTTGACCATCGAAGATAATATGTTAAAGCTGCCAACCGCTATTGAGTCGCTGAATCGTCTTTTTGATCAGATGTCCATGGAGATTCATAATTACATGGACAATCAAACGAAGGAACTGGAATAAAAAGAGAAGTCGTAGTTCACAGAGGCGATTAAAGAAATCGATGTCAAGACTAAAGAAGCACTTGATATTTCCGACCAACAAGACTCGGATTACTAAAAAATGTATGCTGAAAAAACAAATGTAGTGTTTGTCAAGGGTTTAGATTAAGCGCAAGATAGACTGCTTCAGCAAGAACGTGCCAAAACTGATGCGCTGAAACCAATCTTAAGTTAACTAAACTAGTTCAGTGACAGTAACGCAGTGTACTAATATCAACATGATCACGGGTCAAAACTTAAGAAGTTATTCGCTGAATAACTTTCTAACAAACCTTCCTAATTTTTCCATATGGACATGACACCGTTCAACGAATTGTACGGCTTCGAGAAGCAGGGAAACGAGTCCATGAACAAACAAGTTAATCAACTGTCTGATTCGATCAAAAATCTCTAGTAGGTGATGAACAACTACATAATGACATAAGAACCTTTGTGGAAGGATCAAGTGGCAGATTTTCACACCTACCGAGAACGAGTTAAACGCGCAACGCCGACCTCTCCTATGTCACTAAAAGAAGATGAGGCCATTGAAGCTGTTATGCTGAAGTCAGACCTGTACGATAAAGAGCAAAGAATCCCTACTGAGCTGGAGGACATTATAAGTTTGCTCGAGTCAACGTTGTGGTATTTGGATTTCATCTCGCCGTTCTTGAGCCACGACAATCTGCTGGCGCTGCTGCTGCTGTCTCTGGTGCTGTGTTGCATCCTGGGGGCGATTGCATGTATGATCATATGGCTGCTCAAGTGCTTCTTCTTCCATCCATGCTGCTGATCAGTTACAGATCATATTTCATAAGGCAGTTAACATATTAAGCGTATTCTAACTTAGCTGGTGATAATTTACATAAGTTTGGTTCAAAATCAGATAATGAGTAACGTATTTCGCAAGTGATAGAATACGAATAAAAGTTATTTCTTTCCGAGATGTATTTCGATGGTGTCATGCTGAAAATTGTGAATATTTTTTGAGCAAATGTCATTTTATTTTTGAATAATAACAATTAAATTAGTGACAACTTCCTTATTTTCTTAACTTCAATGCGCAGAAGGAATACACATTTCTGGAAAGTGCACCATGAATTGGATTTAGAAATAATTGAAAAACAATAATTGTGGACCAAATAAAAGAATTTATTGACCAATTGGATCTAAGGTCTGCTTCCTCAATTTGTAACGATAAGTCTGTGCATAATTTTTTAAAAATCTATTCTCGTTAAAAAAAATTGGGGTTTTATGAGGCAAAAAACTTACTTTTCATCTCATCAAAACATTAATTAATTCGTTGACTCGTCTCGAAGCTACTACTTCTCATAGTCATGGGGCAGTGGTCAGTGGATACTGGACACTTGATGGACTAATGGAAACGTCATAGGAGATGCATTAAGTAAACTTGTATAGGATTAACTAAATAAATGATACAGACAATCAATTGCGCAAGCACTTATAATGAATCTGGCTGATATTTTTATCAGCCAAAAAAAAGTTACGGCTGCGATTGTACAACAAATAATGGGTTTGCAAAATAATGGGTTTGCATTGCCAAACAATGAGAGCAAAAATCTTTTCTGTGAAGACTAGTATGTTGGTCTGAGAGCACCGAGATTTATGCAGGGTAAATTTTAAAAAATTGGCATTAAAAATGTCTAGGTTGCCGGTTGCTCGAATATTTTTACCAGCGTATATTTTCCTCGATACAAGTCCTACGGCCTGATCCGGGTCAAGGCGTCAAGCTCACTCAAGCTTTTGGTTGGTCATTTAATCCGTCCGCGTTTTAGGCGTTACTCATCGAAGTGGCTTTTGTGGGGAGCGCAGCCGTGCACCACCAATTTTGTGCACCAATAAGCCCTGAATGGAACGCCTTGGATCTCTCCGGACCTACACCAATCAGCCGTGCACCACTCGGCTTTGTCCTCTTCCGGCCTTGATCATCACCTGCCGTGCACCACCAGCCGCGGCCTGGTGGCACCAGGCCGCGGATCGAATATGACTTCCGGGCATCATTAAATTACGTAATTTTACGTTCACCGCATCTGAAGGTAGGTTTCAGATAGCATAGTTCTGTTCCAAAATTTATCGTCCTTCGACCAGTGGCCGTTCGACCGAGGGCTGGTTCGACCCACGGCCCAGATACGGACGGCTTGAACTCTTGAAGTGTTGAAGGCTACGTTCTGGAAGGCAGGTATCATGATGGTCCATTACATCCAGGCTCCAGGGCAGTGGTGGTCTTCGCCCTTTGGCAGGCAACCCGTTTTTGTGTTGCAAATTTTCATAGTGGAAATGTTAGCTAGCCCTATTAGTAATTAGGTAGGCAATGGGCACCAGTGCACCACCCGGAGAGCGATTTATGCATGTAAATACTATATAAAAAACTCTTAACTTGCCACAATATCTACCTTGCAACAGGATCATCTCCGGGCACAAGCAGCTTTTGGCTGTGAGGCTCAGCAAGTGTGGACTGCATTGGTCCATACCAGTCTCTTATACACATCTAGATGTGTATAAGAGACAGATANGAGTGCCAAGTGGAAACTGGAAAGCACTGAAAGCTTAAACAGAATAACTCGTGAAGGCTGAAGAGTGAAGCCTGAAGGTTACCTTGTATGAACGATCTCACTCTCTTAATTTTAGAAACAAAAAATCTGTAACATCACTAACATGATGAGCCAGAATGCCAGATGAGGCTCTTAGTCTTTTATGAGTTTTATGTGCAGTTTAACTTGTAAGACATTTGCTGTGTGAGTTTCAACAATTTCAAGGCAAAAATTCAATTGCTACTATTAGCATCTTATGAAAATTTATGTTGCTTTTTCAATAGAGAGAAATTGGCCTTGTTTTCACTGTTGTCACACAGCTTGTTTCACAGCTTCAAAATTATAATAAATGCTTACGTTTACTGTTTTATGTACAGACTAGAGTGATTTCGTAGACCAAGCAATTTAACCAACATCAAAACAAATCATGACCAAACAAACAGGTCCATGGACTGCTGGACAGATAGACGGAACTTGGAAGTCATGGAATCCAAATCTATTTTAATTATTGGTTTGCAGTTTGCATGCTGGTTAGGAGCCACGAGACCTCAGAGAGTAGGAATAGTTTTACAACAGTTATATCCAGGACCAGGGCAACCTAGGGGAACCTACTTTATTGAGAGTTGGTTGCATTGGTTGCTAGAAAAAAAGGCTCGCAGTAGAAATATGTGTAATAAAGTAGGTTCCTCTAGGTTGCCCTGGATATAACTGTTATAAATAAGTTTCCTAGTGATTATACAATAGTTTTATAACAGTTATATTGTATCCAGGGTGGCAGGGCAACCTAGCCTATTAGCTTGTCCCTATTGGTTTTTATCACAAATTAGGTTAAACTTAACCTCACTCATAAATGATATGACAATCTGAATTCTTCTATGCTTATCCAAATATGTACCATTTAAAAACGTCAGAAATTTGAAAAAATATGTAAACTTTAACGAATTAAAAGAGCAACATAAAAAATGTTGAGAAAAACATAATATAATTGTTTGTGAATTCTGCAACTTCTACAATTTTTTCAAGATGTCAATGGGTTATACTTATTATTTTCCACTGGATGGTATACTTGGCCTGTTGGCCATTCTAGAGACTAGATTAGCCTCCTTGCAGTTGCAGGCATAGATTCCATGGAATATACCTACTTGGCAAGCTGCAACTGGATTTTTTGAGCCGTGGTTTTATGGGTTTGCTAGCTGTGATTCCATTTCTTCGAGCAGTGAATTCCATGTCTTGGCGGTTAAAAGCCATTTACAAGCCGCCAACTTATTATATATAAAGTCACATCCTCCCATGCAAGGGTTACCCAACATCTATAATTTTACCCTTAAAACAGTCACTAACATTTGTCTTCACTTGAGCGGCAACTGAACTGTCTGAACAAGTGGTAATGCAATCTGTCAGCTCTGACATGACTGCAACTACACTATCATCAAGATACCATTTTGTTTTGGGTTGACTTGTTGTGGATGTTATTACGTTCTGCATGTTATTTTGGCTGAACTACACTATCATCAAGATACCATTTTGTTTTGGGTTGACTTGTTGTGGATGTTATTACGTTCTGCATGTTATTTTGGCTGAAGGTGGGAGCATTGAAGCCCAATTGGAAATTTCAGTTCCCCAACTGACTTACTCAATTTTAGTACATGCGCAGAGTTACCCTATGGCAGATGAGTGCGGATTTGGGAGGAATATCTATATTCAACCACGGATGTGGGTAATTCTCTTGAAATATAATGCATCACTTCCACAGAACTAAAAAAGTTGTTGTACAATGATGCAAGACCCACACAGTTTCCATAGTGAGCTCATCATACTTGGATAACTATGCTACATGAGATCCTACTTGCGTAACTATACAATTTCTAATACATGGATGGACATGCTTTTATGTTGTAAAATGTGTGAATGTTAGCAGCACAGTATAAGAGATATAAGTTCCTTAAGGTCTGACTCATACCAAACGTTTGGTAGTACCAAATGCCCTGTGGTTTGGCTAAGACGTGGAAGTCACTGACCAGATTGCGCTATCATCTTACAATCATGTTTGATATATGCTCCAGTTACTATCATCACTCATCAGTATACCAGCTGGAACTAGAGCTCTCCACATATATTTTAAGCTGAAAGATTCCTGTACCAAGAATCATTAAAAATATTAAAGATCACAAGATGTAATGTCCATAACTAGAATGTCATTATTGATGTTTCAGGTATAGTTTTTGTTATGTGGTTGCACTGGACTGGAGGATAACCTCACAGGCCTCCGAGTGTTGCCACACTAAGATGTATTTAGTGTTAATTGCTGTTTGGGTGTGTGGGTTGGGTAGTGCCAGTGCCTCTGTTGGTGATCGCTCTAATGAGTTTAGGGGCTGTCTTTATGTCTGCAGATTCAACAATTGCTCGCAAGGTAAGCAATAGTAGTTATATATATGCCTTTATTTCTATCTATATATATATACATGCCAATCTATTCACTTTCTTAAATTTACCACTCAAGCCATTATGCATTGCAAATGATGTTAATATAATAACATATTGGCTTACAGTTACTATCATAAAATATCTAAGGAAAGAATTTTCTATTATCTAATTTAATCCTTAACACAAGCCTTATTTCATATTCAAATTATGTTTAAATGTTTTTTCTTTGTTTAAATAAATTAATATTATTCTATTTGATTAACATTATTCTTCATTGATTTCTTGATGAAATATTGGTTTCTTGATATATTTCTTGATGAAAACTAAGAGTAGCTTATGATGATAAAATTTGTTTGCAGAGTTTGCTGCCGATCCATACAGAGGCGGTGTGTCATCTGTTGAAAGCAGCAGCGAGGACTGGTCAGCTCTGCTGCATCGCACCTGCACAGACGAGTGCCGCTATCATTGCATGTGGGTCACAACACGCCTCTTCCTTGAGGATGACAGAGACACCCCTCAGTTTTATGGCAAGGTCAGAGCCTATATGTTTACTTAGTGTCTTAAAATGTAGGTAGTGACTTTGACCAGTTTAGAATTTTGAAAGCATATCATTATTGAGCTAGCTAAGTTTGACTTGAGTTGAAATGTGCACATGTAAGGTCTGTACCTAAGGTTTACTCACCAGTATGTGCAGGTTTCTCCTCCTCTTGGATTTCATTCAGTTGTAGGAAAAGTAGGTGGTCAAAGTCACCCCATCTCTTGGGGTGAGTTACTACCCGTAATTAAAATTCAGTTTTATGGCAAGGTCAGAGCCTGGATGTCTATTCAGTACCTTAAAATGTAGTGACTTTCACCAGTTTAGAATTTTGAAAGCATATCATTATTAAGCTAGCTAAGTTTGACTTAAGTTGAAATGTGCACATGTAAGGTCTGTACCTAAGGTTTACTCGAAAATATGTGTTGGTTTCTCCTCCTCTTGGCTTCTATTTAGTTGTAGGAAAAGTAGGTGGTCAAAGTCACCCCACCTCGGTGGTCAGGTACCACTCATAATTAAAATTTAGGTGGGAATACTTTATTTTATCTCCTCTGCCAGCCATGAATGGTACTCCCTAAGGGTTTGCTCTCCACACCTGCTATTGATCTTTTAACATCATTGCTACTTGCTAGACTTTTGCTATGCCGCTGATGAAGGTAGAAGCCCAGTTGGGCTCATTAATTGAAAACTTAGTGACAGTGACAGTTTGCCCTTGTCCATCCAGGTAGCTTTTGGCAATAATCCTTAGGTCCATAGGCTGAAGTGAGAGCCATAATAACTACACAGTATGAGTTTTTTTACAACAATGCTCTCCAGCGCATTTAAAACAGTTTGGCTCCCAGGCTTTGCAATATATTTTCCATGCACTCAGTTGAACAAAGCAGACTTGCCCATGCCATGGGTACTGTTTGGCAGCTTTGGTTATACTTATTTTCTTGTCTCTTATTAAATCTAAAACTCTACTTCATCCCCAATATAGTTCCTGTAGGTTCGGGAGCTCCTATGGAGCTTGTAGGTTCTAGGCATAGTATATTGTCAGTAGGTACGTATGTAGGTAGCTAATTAATTCACTCATTAATAAGCACAATATGAATATAGAACAATTAGTAGCCTGGAAAATCGATAGAAAGCATTTTTAACAGTGAAAAACATAGGTTATATGATAAAATGTGGTTTTTAATTACTATATGGTTCGGTCTAATTCACCACATTTGGGGTCATTTAGAGTGGTCCAAACCACCCTAATTTTACAACTATAACAACTTGTTTGGTTATCTTTACTACATGAAACTGGAAGACTTGTATGTAATGTACTACCTAATGCATCAAAATTTTGGGTTATTCTGTCAAATTATTTTTGTGATACAAATATTCACATATTAAACGTATAAAATTGATCTCTTTATTGCATTTGTAGGTTATCTTATTGTATTTCAAGAGCCATCAACACAATCTTTTCATGAAAATGCCTAAACCTGAAAATGTTTTGCCATTCTGTTCTTGTATATCTTGTTCCTCAACTGATTTTCATTGAACTATCAAGTCTAAATATGGCAATTATATGTATATAACTGTAATTAATAATTTCTAGCGCATTTTCTCATTTATGGAAAAAAGGTGCTATTGTGCTCGTCATGTCCGTCCATCTGTCTGTCTGTCTGTCTGTCTGTCCGTCCGTCCGTCCATCCGTTCGTGACCACGTTTTCATCGACGAGAAAATGCGTTCTCTGTCACTCACTGCAGTGAGTACTGAGTTATATTTTTTTTCAGTGGCCATTCATCCGGATACTGGGTCTGGATGAGCCGGCATCCGTGTTGTTCTCCCTGATGAACCTGCTTGGCCACTGCCATGGCTTGTGGCGACTTCACTGCAGCCTGCCCTCGCACGCCCCCATGTTCTCTACATGGCGCAATTATGCCCTTGTGGGTGTTGAGGTGTTGTCACCCCTCGTGGGTGTTAGGGTGGCGAAAGCCCTTGTGGGTGTTGAGGTGGTGATAACCCTTGTGGTTGTTGGTGTTGTTGCCCATTGTGGGTGTTGAGGTGTTATTACCCCTCGTAGGTGTTGGGGTGTTGTTGCCCGTTGTAGGCGTTGGGGTGGTGACAGCCCTCGTGGGTGTTGTTGCCCCTCGTGGGTGTTAGGATTTATCTTTTCAGCATATCATCTGTTCCTATTATCTGTTCCTATAATTTTAACATAATGGATTTCTCATTCAGATTTGCTGCTGTCTTGCTAAAATTAATTTTTTACATATTCTTAACATTGTTTAAATTCAGATTTGATGATATACGTAGAAAGATGTTATTGTATGATGAGGCAAATAGTGCAAATATGAAAAATTAGTTTAATGGTATTATATGGTTATTAGTGTAAATTGATACTAAAACTTTGATGATTTCAGGTGAGCATCAATGCCTGGTTTTGGTCTGCTGTGTTCCATGCTCGGGATCTGGTCTTCACTGAACGACTTGACTATTTCTCAGCACTGTCCATGGTGCTGTACAGTCTGTATGCACTGTGCATCAGGTGTGTGGCAGCTGTACAGTCTGTTCGTGCTGTGCCTCAGGGGTGTTGCTGCTATATGGTTATAAAATTTGTAAAGTATTTTTCCAATCAATGACTCCACCCCATGATTTATATCACCTTGCAACAATTGTTTTTTAATAAATTCAACATTACCTGTTGTTATATTCAACATCTGTTGTTGATGTGTTGAACATTATCTTTAGATATCATCATTATCCCCCAAGCTGAGGGGAAGAGATTACCACTTCCTCTGTTGTGCAGAGCTGTGGGGAGAGGCAGAGACCACATCAAGCAGAGCGTGGGGGCCGCATGTGTGGCCCTGTACGCTTACCACATCTGGTACCTCACCCACAAACACTTCGACTACTCATACAACATGAAGGTTAACGTCACTATTGGTGAGTCTTGAGTCAAAATGAAGGTTAACGTCACTATTGGTGAGTCATGAGGCAACATGAAGGTTAACGTCACTATTGGTGAGTCTTGAGTCAAAATGAAGGTTAACGTCACTATTGGTGAGTCATGAGTCAAAATGAAGGTTAACGTCACTATTGGTGAGTCATGAGTCAACATGAAGGTTAACGTCACTATTGGTGAGTCTTGAGTCAAAATGAAGGTTAACGTCACTATTGGTGAGTCATGAGTCAACATGAAGGTTAACATCACTATTGGTGAGTCATGAGGCAACATGGTTAACGTCACTATTGGTGAGTCATGAGTCAAAATGAAGGTTAACGTCACTATTGGTGAGTCATGAGTCAAAATGAAGGTTAACGTCACTATTGGTGAGTCATGAGTCAACATGAAGGTTAACGTCACTATTGGTGAGTCTTGAGTCAAAATGAAGGTTAACGTCACTATTGGTGAGTCTTGAGTCAACATGAAGGCCGGTCATATTGGGTGTAAAATCACAACAAACTCAAATGTCAAAATTATTCATTTGGTGACGACCTGGCACCGTAATACCGACCCTATCAAAACTCGCTCTGGTTCACATACCAAACTAGTTCTCATTTGTGATTGGTGGTTTGAGTTTGAAAAGCCGTAAGTGATTTGTTGAAAGAATAACTAACTCATATAAATAGTTTTGATAGCTCAGCCTCTGGACCAGTGTGCACCTTTTGCTTCTCGACGCCCACGCCCTCTGGCACCTGTGCACTGTGCCGCTGCCCTTATACTGGTACAGGTGCGTGCTGTGCACTGTGCGCTGGTGATGATGAGTTCGGGACTCCCTAGTCCCCGGTCATGCTGATGCGCCGCCTTCGTTGTCCTCCGTCTCGTTGTTGTCGCTAGGCAGGTCACCCCGCCCTCTGGTCCCGGATGCAACGTTGGACGTGTTCCGTATATTGCCCTCCTTTGTGCCAGTTAATGCAAGATGCTGTTGCTTGTCGCTTGCTGAGGGTGGTTTCCCATTACTGGACAATCTGGGATCTTTCTCAGCCACTTGTCCAGTCGTCTCTTGAATGTTGCAAAGGTGAACTCCCCTGCTCTCAGCTCTTAAGGCAGGGCATTAAAGAGCCTCGGTCCGACAACGGACAGACACATGCTGTGTTTGTATGCTGGTACAGGTGTGTGTTGTGCGTACGCTGGTACAGGTGCTTGCTGTGCCTGTGTGCTGTTAGAGGCACATGCTGTGTTAGTGTGCTGGTACAGGTGGTTGTTGAGCCTGCATACAGGCATGTACTGTATACTCACTCTGATCCTGTACAGGTTTGTGATAGCCGACTGCCAGTACATACTGGACAAGACGGAGGCATACCGAGAGACGCCCTACCACCGCCTTCACCAGCGTTCGTTCAAGCCCTTCGTGGGAGAATGACTCATCAATTCTTCTCCTCGCCCTGAATACATGTACAAATTATTTGTTGTTAAGCTTCCCAATATTAAATTTATGAGTCTTGATAGCGAACTTGATATTCTTTGTATTGGCTTGGGGTCTTTTGTATCTGACTCACCATAATATGGCTAGTATATATGTTTCACTTCGTTACACTAAATTCTTACCTGTAGGAATATTTCTTTACTACCATGCTTCTCTTAGTTAACCAATGCTTCATTTAAGGTAAGCAGTGCTACACTGGATGGAACCAATGCTTCACTCAAAGCAATTTATACTTCATTTAAAGAAACTAATTTCTGTGTAATAAGTACCGCTTTACGCTTCCCAGATTGTATATAATTACTCCCTGTCTGCAGTCCTTAAGCAACCTTATCGTTTTTAGCGCATTTTCTCATTTATGAAAAAATGCACTATTGTGTTCGCCATGTCCGTCTGTCCGTCCGTGACTTCACGTTTTCGTCGACGAGAAAATGCGCTCTCTGTCACTCACTGCAGTGAGTACTGAGTTATATATTTTTCATTTATGTTGCCAATCACTAATTTTTCTAATTGTTCTCCAGATCTTCCCCCAAGTTACAACCTACCAAGCCCCACATTCCAGCCAGAACCCAGCGTTCCAGTCATTACGGTATCACACTCTAGTGCTCATGTGTAATGTTAAGAGGGAATGTTATTATTAGTAATACGTCATGAGTCACGTGCAAGGTTATTGGCATCAAGCAGTGACAGCTGCAACATAATTTACAAATCAGCAAATGTATAGCCTATCAGCCCGAGTAGGATTGTGCAGAGCATGTTATCTCGGGTATCAATATGCTTATGCTTTTCTCTACTACTGATAAAAAATCCAACGTCATCAATAATTTATGCCACGTGCACTTCCTATTTTCACCGTATTTTAATCTTAAATTCAAGGCTTAAATTCATGGAATCCAATGTAAATGTAGTAAGCGACGATGAAAGCCAAAGTATTAGTTTTCATTGAGCCAGTATGTTTGCAAACATTTTTGTATAAATGTTGACATGTGTAACAGTGCAGAAGATGTAATATTGTAGGTGGTGTAATTTCGTAAATGTGTAACAGTGTATGCAGTGTAACATCACAGGTGGTGTAACAGTGCACGCAGTGTAATATTGTAATTGGTGTAACAGTGTAGGCGGTGTAACAGTGTAGGTGGTGTAGATTCGTAAATGGTGTAACAGTGTATGCTGTGTAACATCACTGGTGGTGTAACAGTGCACGCAGTGTAATATCGTAATTGGTGTAACAGTGCAGGCGGTGTAATATCGTAGGTGGTGTAACAGTGTAGGCAGTGTTATATTGTAGGTGGTGTAATTATAATGCTATTGTCATGGTAATTAATGAACACTAATGATGTTAATATGTATCAATGTCTCGGGTCGTTTGTCCGAGGCGTTGCTGTCATAATTTTATTAGATCAATAGATTAATTAGAGCTTTAAGTGGGCAATTTTTATGAAGATTATTTAACTTCACAAGTTCTTGTTATGATTGAAGTTTTATTAAAACATCTAGGTATTCGTAATAAATCTTAGAAATAGTTCGTTGAACAAGTTATGTGGTCACTTTCCGATGATTGTATATCCAGTTATTTATCATTGCCATGCATTGGGTTATTCGCTCATCATTCGATGTTGTCCGTACAGTGTTTGGCATACTTTAGTAAGAATGGCGTCACNGTCAAAATGAAGGTTAACGTCACTATTGGTGAGTCATGAGTCAAAATGAAGGTTAACGTCACTATTGGTGAGTCATGAGTCAACATGAAGGTTAACGTCACTATTGGTGAGTCTTGAGTCAAAATGAAGGTTAACGTCACTATTGGTGAGTCTTGAGTCAACATGAAGGCCGGTCATATTGGGTGTAAAATCACAACAAACTCAAATGTCAAAATTATTCATTTGGTGACGACCTGGCACCGTAATACCGACCCTATCAAAACTCGCTCTGGTTCACATACCAAACTAGTTCTCATTTGTGATTGGTGGTTTGAGTTTGAAAAGCCGTAAGTGATTTGTTGAAAGAATAACTAACTCATATAAATAGTTTTGATAGCTCAGCCTCTGGACCAGTGTGCACCTTTGCTGACCCTTCTTTATACTTGCTATCTCTAGTGGAGATCTGGGCCTGTCTTCTCCCTCCCTCCATTACCACTCCTGGTGTACCCGCAGGGCTGTGCAACGGGCTGGGTTGGCTGTGCTGGAGCTATGCGCGGTGGCGGCGGCCATACGTGTGGCAGTGCGTGGCTGTGTTGCTGCTCGTCGCCGCGTCCCTCGCCCTCGAGGTGGCTTTCATTTAAAGAAACTAATTTCTGTGTAATAAGTACCGCTTTACGCTCCCCAGAGTGTAGGTATATAATTACCGGTACTCAATGTCTGTAGTCCTTAAGCAACCTTATAGTTTTTTTTCATTTATGTTAACCATCACTAATTTTTATTATTGTTCCCCAGATCTTCCCCCAAGTTCCACCCTACCAACCCCCACATTCCAGCCAGAACCCATCGTTCCAGTCATCACGGCATCACGCTCTAGTGCTCATGTGTAATGTTAAGAGGGAAGGTTATTATTAGTAATACGTCATGAGTCACGTGCAAGGTTATTAGCATCAAACAGTGACAGCTGCGACAAAATTTACAAATCAACTAGGGTACCTATTGCTTATTAACCCAAGTAGGATTGAGCAGAGTATGTTATCTTGAGTATCAAGATGCTTACGATGGTCTTTAATTCTGATCAAAACTCCAACGTCACCACTAATTTATGCCACGTGCAATTCCTCATTTTCACCGAATTTTTCATTGAGTCAGTATGTTTGCAAACATTTTCGTATAAATGTTGACATGTGCAAAAGTGCAGAAGGTGTAATATTGTAGATAGTGTAACAGTGTAGGTGGTGTAATTTCGTAAATGTGTAACAGTGTATGCAGTGTAACATCACAGGTGGTGTAACAGTGCATACAGTGTGATATCGTAGGTGGTGAAACAGTGTATGCGGTGTAATATCATAGCTGGTTTAACAGTGTAGGCAGTGTAATATCGTAGGTGGTGTAATACGTATCGTAGGTGGTGTAACATAACAGGTAGTGTAACAGTGTAGGCGGTGTAATATCGTAGGTGGTGTAACAGTGTAGGCGGTGTAATATCGTAGGTGGTTTAATACGTATCGTAGGTGGTGTAACATAACAGGTAGTGTAACAGTGTAGGCGGTGTAATATCGTAGATGGTGTAACAGTGTAGGCAGTGTAATATCGTAGGTGGTGTAATTATAATGCTATTGTCATGGTAATTAATGAACACTAATGATGTTAATATGTATCAATGTCTCGGGTCGTTTGTCCGAGGCGTTGCTGTCATAATTTTATTAGATCAATAGATTAATTAGAGCTTTAAGTGGGCAATTTTTATGAAGATTATTTAACTTCACAAGTTCTTGTTATGATTGAAGTTTTATTAAAACATCTAGGTATTCGTAATAAATCTTAGAAATAGTTCGTTGAACAAGTTATGTGGTCACTTTCCAATGATTGTATATCCAGTTATTTATCATTGCCATGCATTGGGTTATTCGCTCATCATTCGATGTTGTCCGTACAGTGTTTGGCATACTTTAGTAAGAATGGCGTCACTTGTGCAATGAAAATCTCGTCTCATGCAGCCTGTTGTTGTTTTTATATGTCTGTTGTTCAAGTGCTGCTGTTGTTCTTATGCTACTGTTGTTACCCTGAATTTCACTCATATTTCCCCAAACTTTACTTTTCTGCCCCGGACTTCTACTCAAGTTTCCCCAAAAATCACGACCAAGTGACCTGACATTCATCCCAATTTTCTCGCCTCGTTCTTACGCCTTCTCATTTCTCCTGTTCGTTGTTGCATTTGTTGTTTGCAGGGTGTGTATTTTCAGGTTTATTATCACGATTATTACTATCTCCACGTTTGTTATCTCCATGGTTATTGTCACCACGTTTGTTATCTCCGTGGTTATTGTCACAACGTTTGTTATCACCGTGGTTATAATAACTTGCTTTTTTCATCATTTATAACACGAAAAGGTATCAATGTAGTCTGCAACCTTCAGCCTTGTGCTGCCACTCAGGCCCGCCGGTTGTTAACAACACTTGTATTCTACTAACTTCATTGTGTATTATACATACTATTAACTCCCAAAACCAGTTGCAAATGTTAGTCCTTATGAAGCCTGTTATTTACTTTGTATTTTATTCAATGTTTATAGGCATCAGAGGAATTTATCGTAGTTGTTGACTAGAGTTGTAGGAGTTTAATTTAATTTATTTAATTAGAAATTTAGAAATATGCCCTTGGATTCATCATTCAAAATGATGATGTCTTATGCAGACAATAATCCTGTACATAATTTAGTGGCATTATTCAAACCACTAATAGAGCCCCTTTTAAAGACTTCTATTGATAACCTGCAATGAAAGACAGACTTGAATTGGAAATGAAGTTAAAATGGACTGAACCTGAACTGGATATAGACTTAATCCCAGAAAGGTTCCGCGCTGTTTCATGTAAAGTTTTGAACATAGAAAGCTTGTTCTGAACATCGAATGGAGTAAACCTCCTATGAACCTACAGTAGTGAACATGTCATGAGTACACTCGTGTACTCTCCCTAATATATTAGGGAGAATACATTATCACCCTAATATGTTCCCCATACGCTCATACTTGTAAGAAATACTTATACTTATCAGATTCATATCCGCCTTAATGCACGAGTTGCGGCTGTCCAGATCTCTTACTTGCTCCTATGTTACAAACTTGTTATTCTTCAAAAGCTTCTATCAGTTAGAGTTACTATAGCTTGCTGTTATGAGTTAATTTATTTCGATGTTAGTGTTTATTCATATTTTAACTGTTTTTAGTCACAAATGTTTGTGGTGTTAACGTTTGTTAGTTTAATTGCTATTTTGCACATCTCCTTTGTCGTTAACATTTATTTACGAGTTTTACTGTTAGTAGTCACAGGGCATTCTGATGTTAACGTTTATTTCTTAGTTTAACTATTGTTATCTACAACTTATGATGATAATCAGCTTCGTCAGGCATTCGCCAAGCTTCGAAAATAATCTCTTGCGCAATTTGTGGTGTTGTTGGTGGCCGCAGGCTTATTCACTCACTAAGAGCCATTAGTTACCGAGAATTTTTCAATTAGCTATAGGTGATTTAGTCGGTCACTCCGACCCCTAAAAGGCGATTACATAACATCAACCACAAAATTGTCGTATTAATGTCTACTGATTTCCTTCTTCATTACAGGCGTAAAAAATGTATAAAAATGTCGCAGGAGAGATATGACGAAGTTGAGAACCAAGCCTTCTGTTCTCTGGCCCTTGCTATAGCCGTAGACACGTGTTTACGAGTAAGGGAAACGCAAGTCACATAGATCACCTATTCAAGAGAATGTTGTTACAATAGAAAGAAATTTATAATATTCCTAGTTATCGATGAAAATTTATGTTGAGGTGTTCACTTGCTGTTGTTGTTTTTTACTGTTGTGATCTCTGTAGGACATATTGATGTTTTATTCTGAGATTTTAGATGAGTGGCTGGTGACTCGTTCAAGACGAGTGATTGGTGATTCATTTAAGGCGAGTTACTGATCATTCAGTTAATACGAGTGACCGGTGACTCGTTTTAGAAGAGCGGTCGGTGACTCGTTTTAGATGAGTGTCAGGTAATTTGTTTTAGAAGAGTGGCTGGTGACTCAGTTGAGACGAGTGGCTGGTGGCTCATTAATGCCGAACATTCCGGTGAGTTTTTGTGCAATGGCTTTGAGAAGCTTCATCAGCGGAGATTTTGTTATGCGTTGTGAAATGATATATTGTAGACTTGTCCTTTATTAAAACATTCCTTTAGCATAGCTTCGTTTTGTTGTCATCCTTATGAGCATATTCAAGAACAGACTAGACAAGGCCATGCATTAGCATATGTTCAGTCTTAAAATGCCTCGTACCCTACGGAACAACTGATATGCAGAAGCGATTTTAAATCTACCGTCCGTAAGGCCAGTCTAGTCAAGAAAAGTACAAGAATCGGAGACAGGCCTATCCAGGCCTATTTATTTAATGCCGAAGATACTATACTATACCATACTATACTACTATATGTTCAGTCTTAAAATGCCTCGTACCCTACGGAACATCTGATATCTATAATCGATTTTAAATCTACCGTCCGTAAGGCCAGTCTAGTCAAGAAAAGTACAAGAATCGGCGACAGGCCTATCCAGGCCTATTTATTTAATGCCGAAGATACTATACTATACTATACAGTAATAGTATTAGAACAATTTAAGGCATTCAATCTTTCCATTTTGCATGTAATTCAACGCGGATGATCATTAGTGTTATTTGGTATTTCCGAAAAAAGGAAGAAGAACGGGTTGAGAAGTTGATCTAATCACACTGAACGACTCAAATTCATAATGAACTTCATCAAAATTTTGTTACGAAAGAAAAGTACACATGTTCCATCGGATAATTTATTGCTTCAGAATATCATCCATATGCTCCAGTTGAGTTTTGATTGATGAAAAATGAACGAATTACGACCACCATTTATAAAATGATCAACAGTACATTGGAAGCCTGTACTAATCATGATAATTTGTCTATTAAGTTTTCTTCTATTTACAGTGTTTAATTAAGAGAGCAATATGTGAAAATAGATATGAATGGCATCTTGTTTATTAATATATGGTTTTTCTGTTTGATGAATCTTTTTCAAATTCGATCTCAGCTACAAATCATACATTCAGCATCATCTTTAGAGGCTTTGTCATGAATCATGGTCGTGAATAAATACACATCATATCGCTATAGACTTCCAACATCCGTGGTTTAGATATAATCGTGCCTTGTATTGTCCGAATAATCGGGAGCAAGTTTCCATGGTAAGTCATTGTCTATATCTGCATGCTTTAATCAGAGTTTAATGAGTCATCAGCAGGAAATATGTTGAATAATTTACACATTGAATTAGACTGTCTTTTTATTTATTTTTAATATTTAATTTATGATAATATCTTCATGATCAGTCAGATCGTCCATCATCCATGTCATAACTCGTACCAGGCTAACTTGCCGATTGCGATTTGCGATTGCAGACCTGCGGTCACAATAGTGTTGTTTCCAAGAGCAAGAAGGCTGAAGGAAGGTCAGGTTTCTAAGCTAGGCTTAATATATATATAATATGCAGGCATATAAATTTACTGATATTTAATATTTGTCAGTACTCAGTACTAGGACTTTAGTTGTCATAGCTACAATAGGCTATATTATAATATAATGAACAACATCATGATAATGATTTAAAGAAATTTCAAAGTTGACAACAAATTTGCTGGTAGGCTAATTGACTAATTGGCAAAGTTTTATGCTGAAATAATGAAATACATTTTTACTATAGTTGAGTAACTTGAGTTTAATTAAAAACCATAAAATTGATGAATCTGATAATCAAAGATTTTCAGGTTGATATTTTATAACTTTTAGTATTTTATTTGCACAGAGCATGATGAGCATCCAGTCCTGCTGCTGCCAGGCTGGCAGTTTCCTCACTTTACTTTACTGTCAAATTCAATGTCTGTGTTGAATGTTGATTGTTGAAAAATTGAGCATTTGTTAAAGTTTATACTCAGATGGGGTTTTTTATCTTGCCATTGAACTTTTGGTATTATTACAGATTAACTACATCCAAAAAAAAGGGTGTTTTTTTTTTTAATTATATGTTTTTTGGGGTGTAGATTACGAATCTGAAATCCATTTTTGGCGGTCGGCATCGGAAAACCGATTTTTTTTGATGTAGCTATGAAATCATAAAAATTTTCAGGTTACTAAGTTTCTAATAAATTTGTAATTGTATACCTACTCTCAATGTTACTTTATTTCTTATGTATTTTTAGAACATTTAAAAGATTTTAAGTGGTTGAGGCCCAGATTGAAATTTTTTCAATGCATTTGCCATTTGGTATCTAGTGCTTGAGACAAGTGGCCAATTCATATGATTTATAGTATGAGTTAGATTGGAAATAATTTATCTAGCAGTCATAGTGGCAAAGCAGAGAGTTTTTTAGACTCCTTCAAGTTCAATTGAGTCCTATAAGTAGACCAGCAAAGTATCATGGATACCAGCATCATCATACATAAGATATTGGTTCAAATCTCAAATAAATGAGGAAATTTTAAATGAACTGATTCTAAAAAATTGATAGTTTGCCACTTTGTCTAGCACTAGCAGTAATCTTGACAATTAATGTGGTTCTAAAAATGGCATGAATGCTCTGTTTGCAGCTTGAAAGATAGATATATTCCATGCCACAGAGGCACAGACCCCCTTGTTTAGGCAAGATTTTCTTAAAATAAAAACAGATAATATAGGTAAAGAAAAAATTTAGAATGGAAATGAATTTTATTATTAGAAAAAATAAAGCTGGCAAATTTACTTTGGGAAAAGAATCATGAACTTTTAGGTGAAACACACAATCTAATAGGTTCATGCAATAAGTCTAAAATTTACAAGCCAATTCTATAGCTTAATCTTGTACTTTAGTTCTGTTATTTATTACTCAAAATTTTAATGTAAAATAAATATTTTTTCTTCTTCTTATTCTTCTCTTAGTTTAAATATTTTTTTTACTAGATTACCTATTGTGAATTTATCTTCTGAGTTGAGCAAATAATTAAGTTTCTACTGTCGCTTAGCCATCATCTGTTGCAGAGTGCAGACAATAAGTGCCATTGAGTGTAAAAGAGTGGAAGACTGAATCCCACCTATTATATAAATGGACATCATAAATTCATGTACCAGAAATTAGTTGGTAATTATTTTTTTTTTCAATGCAGATGGTGCAGCTACACTGCTTGTGCCTCAATGTGCAGATAAGCATAGAGGCTAAGACTGCAGACATCAAAGACCTGCCTCTGCACTTCCCCCACCAGCTCCCTGACTGCCCTGATGATGAATTCTTTCAAAAAGTTAGTGGAAAATTTTCTGAGTTGAATTCCAACTCTTTTGTTTTTCATTCCAGCTTCAGAATTTTTTCCTGTGATCTGCCATAGTATTTTTCCCTGCAATATATAAATAGGATATAGGTATATATTTTATGAGAAATTATTGTGTTTCTTTACCTACAAGCATTTTTTTAGGCAATATCAATTTGGTTAGCATAAGCATTTAGATAATCAATTAATTGTTAAAGTTTGTAAGAGATTTTTTTTTCACATTTGTATGACATTTTGCAATTTATTGCAAAATATTCAATCCAATATTGAGATTGTAAAGCAATATTCAATATAGAACATAAGTATTAGTATGGGTGTGATTTTCTTAATGCTGAATGAGAGCTCCCATATAATAATTATGGATTTTCCAAAGTACTCTAACCATCTGGCAGGTGGTTAGAGTACTACAGTCTTACTTGTTGTAATTTGTTGTATGTTTATTCCAATATAGGTAGTGTGTTACCACACACTATATTGACTTATAATTCAAATTAAAATGTCCATTTAGGAAATTAATTCAATTATTAGTAATTGGTTGTTATTGAGCTTATTTAGCATAACATTCTACTGACAAATGTAAACAATGCAGTAGGAGTTGTTTATGGTTGTGCCATGACTGAATAACAAGCAAGAATCCACATGTTGAACTATTAATATAATGGTTGCGTTGGTCAGGGTGTGTTGGTGGTACGGCTGGACCTTGGAGGTGTGAGCTCTGAGATATCGGAGCTTGTGGAGCAACAGCCCCTGAGTGGTGGCTGGGTACTGCATCACTGCCTGTCATGTAACTTCTACACACACGCAGTCCACACTTCCTCCAGTACACATGCTGCCAGTCCTGCCTTACTTGTAAGCATATGAATGCTTTTTCATATTATCTTTTAAGCTTGCTTAGCATCTATCTGCCCTTCAGTTAAGTGCTCTTCATGCATTGTCATCTCCACTGATGAAGATGTTGTGGTTGAAAAGAAAATTGTATTGATAGTTTCAAAGTAATTTTTAGAAGGTGTGTAAAAAAAATGACTTGATTATTATACAGGTTTCTGCTAAATAGCAAGTACCGGTACAGGCACCCAGGCATTTTAATAGTTTTTTTTAGCTAGTTTGCATTGAAACAAGTAATAGAAATGCATTATGGAGCAGAGTGGAGCAGCCATTGAGGCACAAAAGGCCAGTGATCGATACTCAGGCTTGTTCCACCTAGTGCTGCCTCCTTCATCTCCTGACCCTGCCAGCTCCCACACCCCTCCTGCAGCTGACAAAACTCACATGCCTCCTCTCAGCACCACGCTGCTGCCTCTGCAACTGCAGAGGCAGGTGTGTATATCAATGATGTTTTGTACGTTTCATTCTACATTATCATAGANTGTGAAGATTTCTGTACTTGAATGATGTTGTATTTTTAATTTGCAGTTGACACATTACACAAAGCAGCTGGAGAGCTTGTGTGAAGAGCGCATCAGATGCTATAAGGAGCAGCAGCTGAAGCTGCTGGACCAGGACATAGAGCGTGCCAAGCATGACAGCTACGTCCTCCTGGCGCTGCTCATGCGCCTTGACAAGATCAACATCAGAGTGAGTTCTAGTGCATTATAGTCAAGGTGCATATAAGTAGTTATGCTCATGTATATTAATCTAGGAGTGTATAATATACAATTTTTAACTTGGAGGTGAATTTTGAAATCATGATAAGTTATAATATCAAGATGAGTCTCAACATCTACATGAGTTTAAACATTGGTGAACGATTTTGCATCAGACATAAAAGAGACTGCTGACAAAACCGTGGCTTGAATCTCACCTTAACTTTCAACAGTTTATGAGCCAGTTTTCAATGTTAATCGCTGTGTGAAAGGTGAATAATAATTTTTGTAATGAAGTGCACTTACTCCTTCATTACAAGGCGCATATATATGTGTTTGATTTTTTTCTCAACAAAATTGAGAAATTACCTTTAACCATGCTTAAATTTTGAGATGACCCATTTATCATTGCAAACTTCCAAATAAAAAATTAGCTGTATAATTTTTAACGTAAAGTGTGATGACACGCGATTTGCAGCCCATGAGTAGGAAATTTGGTAGGGCCCCTAGTATGAAACTCTCACTTCTTTGCAAGGCACTCGAAAAAGCGTTCTGGCAACAAGAATATGTAATGTATAACTTTGTCCCTTTCAATATATCGTTTCTTACATCAATTATGCCCATAAGAAGAGCAGTAATAGTAAAAAAACGGTAAAAAAATAAAAAATAGTCAGAAAAACCTGTAATAATCAAGTAACTGTTGGTGTAGAGATTTCTGTCATTATGTAGGTATGTTTTTATGTGTGAAGAAATTTGCCATGTTGCAGAACTGTTAGTGAGGAGACAACCTGTTTTGACTGAACTTCTTTCCCACAGCGTCCTTCCCAGTCAGCTGGGGACTTGGATGCCCATAGACGGAGGAGCTTGGGCACCACGGCCCTTGAGCCAGCACTCCCTTCAGTTACCACACACCAGGCCTCCTTCAGCCTCCGGCCACCAGTGAGAATGCCACCTTAGTATTTAAGAACACAATTTTTGTTTGCTTTGTAGAATAATTGCAGTGGAACTTCCCAGATAAGATATTATGAAAGTTCATGAGCCTAAAAAGTTTGTTAATAAACATATTAGAGTGTTTAAGGCTAATTTTTTCTGTTAAGCGGGGTCAGCCTTGGAACATGAGTTACCTATTGACAGATTGAGACCTAAAGCTTATATAGTTGATATTTGTAACTGATGCCTTCCAGTTGTAAGCTACCTATTTTTGAAATATTTAGAATTAAAAATATTTTTGATGCTTGGAATTAATACCTCTGCAATACTCTGGTAAAAAAATGCCCTGACACCTTTTATCTCTTTTTGTCTTATCCTGTTGACCCTTGAGAGTGAGAACATAAATAACCAACTCCTGATTGTGAACTTGGATTCATGATCTTTATGATTGTGAACCCATGATCTTGAATTATTATCCCACAGACCGCACCAGGCTTGGATGCTGCAACCATAGCAGCCACTGGGCTGGACTCCCCTGGCGTGGATGTGGCAAGTCCTCTGAGTCGGTCTGTTGCTATGGATATTCCTCTGTCTGCGCTGCACTCAGGTCTGCTTTACTTGCCTGCAATACTGAAGTACTGGATGTTGGTTTCTTAACATCCCAGGGTCATACTAGCAAAATTTGCTCAAGTATATATATAGCAGCCTAACAACAGTACACGTAGGAGCTTTAGTGCTTGTTGTGACCAAATTCTTGTCTGGAATTAGTGAATCTTGATTGAAGAGCCGTCAGTTATTGGCTGACAGTTATGAACTTGTCACTATTTTTGATACTACATTTTCAGGTAATTTTAATCAGCAGGAAGGCATACTAATGTATTGCAAAAAAAAAAAATACTAGGCTAAACGGCTAATTTATGTCATTGCATGGCAGTTATATCATTATTATATTTACCAGTCTGTACTAAAAAAAATTGTATCAAATTTTCAAGTGATTTTTTTTAGTTGCATAATAAACTGTGTGAGCCAGCCATGAAAATGAAATATGGTTCTAGGTGCTGACAGTGAAGACGAGTTCCGGAATGTAGAGCTCTTTGACTTCAGCGATGAGGAGTCGGACCGCTGCCCTCCACCCTTGTCTTCTCCTCCGCACAGCCCCTCCACACATGAAGATGACTATTTATACACTGAGCAGGAGGGTGAGTAGGTATATTTGGCGCACTTTTCAGAAAATGGTTTGCATATAAAGCAGTATTCTCATAGTACTTGATGAAAGCTGAACATAAAGCCATCCTTCTCTATGACGACTGAGTCATTAATAAATATAAGTCATTAGTACTAAAACATTAATAAATACCTAGGAATCATTACTACTAAAACATTAACAAATAGGAATAATCAATACTGAAGAATTAATACTGGACTAATTGCAGCGGCGGAATACCTGGCAGCAGAAGCGGCAGAGCGCGAGGCGAATCGCATTGAGGCCATGAGTGCAGCGGGCATTCCTTCTCTGGCCCAGTCGGTCCCCATAGACGTGCCCAACATGGGCCAGCCTCTGCCCATACGCCGGCCTCGGAGCAACGTGGTGGGTGCTGCTTGTGGGGCCCATATTGGGCACGTGACTGCCTGGTTTGCTGGGGCCTGGCCCAGCGATGCAATGATTGTGGCTTGCTGATGTACTGATTAGGTGACTTGCTGATGTGCTGATTGTGTGACTTGCTGATGTGCTGATTGTGTGACTTGCTGATGTCTTGCTGATGTACTGATTAGGTGACTTGCTGATGTGCTGATTGTATGGCTTGCTAATGTGCTGATTGTCTGGCTTGTTGATGTGCTGATTGTGTGGCGTGCAGATGTGCTGATCGTGTACTTGCTGATGTACTGATTGTGTACTTGTTGATGTGCTGATTTTGGGAGTGGCATGTGCGCTTATCGTGTGACTAGAAATTGTATTGTTTGCGAGGCTTGCTAGTCCTCTCTCACTTGTACAAGCCGCCTTTTTACTTGTGACGTTGTGGAAAAATAGATTTAATTTATTGCTATATATATTTAATTTGCAATGTATTGGGTTTAGGATTTTGGTTCATCATTTTTAGTTTTCAATTATTGCAGCTGTGACCTGTAGTATTAGTGAGTTCTATTTGTCATTGTAGCGCGAGATCTTTGTCATTGTCATTGCAGCGCGCTTTTCTTTGACTTTGTGATTGTTAAATTTTAGGTGAATGTATTATATTGATTATTGTCGTGTTTCGATTCAATTTTGTTCATAACTAATATATTCATTATTTTAGCTAGTTGTTTTAAGAAAGTTATTTTGATATTTTCAGGAAGGCCTCGAGTCTTAAAGTTATTGATATCTGGATTGCATGAAACTGAAACTTGTGAACAGATTGGGAAGTGAATTATTTGTCAAAACTCATGGTTAGCCTTGTACGAGTGTTAGGGTTTTAGGCTTGTTCGAGTTGTAGTACCGGTAGTTGGTTTGTTGTATTGTGTTTCTATTTATTTACTGTTAATTATATTTACATTCAACTGTTTATTGATTGAATAATCCTTCTTCAGTAAAGTGATGGGTGAAGAAATATCACGTACTGTGTCGGGGAACGCTTGTTCATTAGTAGATTGGGAGTTCCCCAACAATGTCACCAAAACGTCTCCTTATCGTGCGCAGGTGCGGCCACCGTGCAGGTCGCCATCTGAGATCTGCGCGCGCATCCTGCAGCTCTCGGCGACCTACAGCGCTCAGACCACGTCCCATGGGCACCTCTTCGAACGGCGCCCCTCTGCCCTCTCCCGCACCCTCAGGGAGTAGATGGTCAGTACCCTCTGGGAGTAGGCGGTCAGTACCCTCAGGGAGTAGACGGTCAGTAAATACAATTAGCGATAAAATTATTCGCACATCATTTTATTTTCTTCGCTTTTTCAATACTTTGCAAAATTATTGAATGTATGAGCCTAAGATTTGATTTAACTAAGCAGAATGTAATGGGGAAATATCACCACTACATTCTCAAAACAATATATAATTTCGAACCGCGTTATCATGCAGAAATTCCCAAACACCCCCTGACACAATTATTCGAACAGTTGCTTGAAAAATACTAACATAAGTTGCCAAAATAATAATCAATGGCATGTCCATTCATCTTGACAACCTCCAACAGTCTCTTTGTATAGTTTTTGATGAGATTGGCAGTGGTATCCGCTTTGATATTATCCCATTCTTAAATTGCGACTTGTTTCAATTCCTGGCGATTCTTGGGAACTCGAGCAAACATCCTATCATCTTGGAAATCCTGGCCTGGTTTTTGCGCCTGATGGAGGCGGGAAAAACGATAAGCATCTGCTGGGTCCCGGGACACGTTCTATGCCATGCACCACGTGCCATCACAGGCTTCCAAGATAGTTTATTTTCCCTTATAGTTCACGGCCTTTCACAGTAAACTTGGTACTCACGCCATTCTCTCTCAAGGTCACCGAAATAGTTATTATCCTTGCGATGATTTTAAGCTCTTAGGAGACCATTGTTAGAGTTGCCATTTCTATTATATCGTGATCCATTGAACTATTTCCATTTATTTGCTGCGATTTACTTGATTTTAATTTTCAAACTTATAATTATATTATCTCCGCGCGGAAGGAGGAAAGATATATTTTGTAATAAAGTAATTTTAATATTTTTACCCACTCCCTGCATGGTAGTTTTTTTCTCTTGGGAAATCCAACCATTGTTTTTAATAAGCAAACGCGGCTCAAGTCGAGACGAATTTACTATCTTCGTAGAAATTATGAATTAGTGGCTTTGCTTTTGTTTGGTTTTCTATGTTGACCATGAAACGCAACGTTTGGAGGCTGCCGTGGCGATAGATGAGAAGAACCAAGAAACGTTACTCGCATGAGTAATGATTTGTGAGTACTTGTAATTAATCATTGCTGGGCCTCAATTTGATGAATTAGTTGTGGAATATTTTTTTCTAGCATGCCAGGTAGAAGAGCATTTTGATGGTTCTACTACAGTTAGCGCTTTGTGACGATTGATGGTGAAAGGCGAAAGAGGGAATTCTTCTGCGTTCGGGAGAAATCGTGTCATTTCTGGTGATAATTTTGAGCTTGAATTGTTTCCTTCAGATGAGTCTCGTAGGTAGCATTTTTATTAATAAAGGAAAATAATTTTCGTTTAGTCGCACCGGCGTCTATGTGCTTGGTGCAGGCGAGAAATCACTTTCATAAACGTGGGGCGTAACGTTTCATTTTTTTCTTTGAACCTCACTCCGTTGGAAGTGCCATACCATACCATGGATCTTCGAAGAGTACTGGAGTTTAATGCGTTTTCCAAGACTCCTTTTGTGCTGATGACGTAGTCTTAAGTTTACAGCCTTGCGTGTGTTCGTACTAGTTGTGCAGTATCAACTTGCTTTGGTAGTTCGCTACTCGGCTTGTCGCTTGCAGCAAGTATGCTGGTTCATTTATATTGATATAACTATTTGTATGATGGTTTTCAGTGATGGGCTCCTTATTTTGTTGTTACCAAGAGAAAAAAACAAATATAAGTTCTCAAGTTGAAATGCGCGATTGTGTAGTCTCGAGTCCTCAACCAAGGCGTGCAGACTCGCTCGTTGTTGAGACAACAGATTCTGAAAACGTACTCATGCCTAACACCAGTCGATTCATTGATATGTACTTGTACACCAGGATTCTTATGGTGTTAAAGCAATTTGATGTGATCCTCCCCATTTTATTAGTCAATCACTATTTGAAAAACGTGAAATATTGATCTGAATAATTGAAACACCTGATAGTGTTATTCCGGGTGCCTCTGTCTTGGGTAAGCATGTCCAGTTTTTTATTGCTACGAAGCTCATGTACGCGTATTGAGCGACCAAGAAGGCCTCAACACGACTCTTGGCATAATGTGTGGAGGAATTATTGCGAACTAGTTCTGATCATTTTTAACTGGAATCGGAACTTTTTTTTTATTACATGTGGATGTGTGTTATTCGATTATCCTATATAATAGAACAGTCAATACTAGGAATGTGTCAAAATTTGTGGGGAATATTTACGCAGCTTAGGTGCGTGTGCACCAAGAATCTGCTACGCGACAGAAGCGTATGACGAGAGTTTCTAGTTTAAGTTAATACTTCTACGCACGATATTATTTCTGTTGAGTATAATTCAGCAACCCTGCATTGTTGATCTGCGACATTGCTAACGAAGAGACGTTATCTGTTCTGTTCGTGCCTCTGGAAATGCGTTTCATTCAATCTACGAACGTTTATTGTCTGCCGACGGCCTATATACTTCCTCGTAACCGAAACGAGCTTATTTACATTTCTGGCCGGCTGCAGAAATTACTTACATTAAATCCTAATGAAATCTTGACTGGCTAGAGCAAAGACGCTGGTCATATTTTTTTATGTACGAATGAATAAAGTGATAGCACCTGCTGCGTTGACTATTCTACCCTTCTGATAAATTATATGACGTACTAACTGGGACAGTCGGTAGGCGGTTGCTCTAATTGTTGGACTTTCAAGGGCCCTACCTGAACGCACATTAAATCTGTTAACAATTTCATCCACTGAGGCCGAGGCCAATGACACCGCTCAAACCTTATTACCGGGCCGAGGCAAGAGAGATAGTCATATCATACACGCGCGTTCTTGTTAACTAATGATGAACCACCAGCAAGTTTCGTAGTCAGCCGCCACTCAAGGGAATTTGAATAGCTGTCTTCTTATGGATTCCTTCACCTCTTTTCGTTCAACTCGATAATGAATTTGGAAATCACGAATACTACTGTAATACTATTTTTTAAGCTGTTTACCATACGAGGAGCCGCCAGGATGCCGGCTCAACACGTGAGATCAGATTTTATACAGGTCTACTGTGTCGGGCTGAGAGAGCTAGCAGCTTCGTTAAGTAGACTAAAATACAGGTCAACTATCCATTACTACAGCACGCTCATGAATTTCGGTTGGGGTGATGAATCTCAATCCCATTTATGTATCTCGAAATATATTAATCCTAAAACTTGAGAATAAACCCCGTAAGAGCGTTGAACGACAGTCGTATGGACCAGTTTGAATTTTTCGATAATTCGAAAAAGACTAACACCTATACCTTTCCAACCAGGCTCAGGGACGCACACACATTTATATCTAGAATGCCAAGGATACTGCACTCCAAATTCGCTCTGCAGCTGAGTTTCATTTAAGGGTGGAAGGCCATTAACTAAAAAACCTACAATTCCTGACCGACGCTCCATGATCCATTGCTTAAAATCGAGCTACGTCATAGAAAATCCCGGGCCGCGAGGGCAGGTGAAGGCAAAGAAGAAGCATCCACACGACGGTTCAGTTTACTTGAGAGGAATGAACCTGGAGGAGTGCGTGGCACCGATACCTGGTCTGCCGTGCTTCACGGGCTTGTAGGACACGGAGAACTCGGCCAGGTAGTGACCGATCATTTCAGCCTGCAAGAGTAAGGGATTAGTCAGCAACGTCAGCTCGTCTCGCTAATCAATTAATTAAATTAAAGATACTATATAGCCTATTGCGTACATCCACATCTCGCGTATGAAAAACCAGGTTGCACCTCAGAACAAAATGAAGATTTATATACGAAGGTCTTTTTTAATACCCATCTTGGGAATGCCACCAGCAAGTTCGTTTCATTTATCATGGTGATAAAATAACGAAACACTGGCTGCATGTTAGAGGCCAGCATTGCCTAATACCACTATCACTTTCATATTCTTCGCGTGCACAAGCATGCTACTAAGTAGATTAGCATTTGAGCTGGAGTGCTAGGAACCATAGGCACCGTTAGCCAGCAGCCACTGCTCCAGCCAGCTGTCTTCACGGCATCTACAAAAACTACGCGCCGAGAAATTTCAACTATGGACAGCATGGGTGGCGAAAATCAGAAAAAAATATCTCAAATTTGAATAAAAAATTAAATAGAAGATTCAGTGAGTTTTCAGATGTTTACTACAAATAACTGCAATTCTCATTGGTATGATTCAGATAACTAACAGAAACATTAGGGCGTTTTATTGGCTAGGGTGAAGGATCAGCGCAGTCAGAACTGCCATCAAAGAGTAACCCCCGCCTTTTTTTTGGCTAAAAATCTAAGAAAAGTGCCCGAGAGCATAAAGTAGTCCCTTATTGTCTTGCCACATGATGCTTAAACCAGGAAATTCAGTTTTTAGCATTCAAGCTAAATTTTATTCGACGGTATCGGCCAAACCGTTGCTTCTGGCTGCATCAAGACGTCGGAGGCTACTAGCTTAGGGCTTCAACTAAAGTTATCCTATACACCGCAGAGCACACTTTAGAGGCTCAAAGTTCATTACAAGCATGAACCACGCATGGTTGTAACCGATAAAATCCAGCTATTATAGATCGAAAGTACTCCAAAACATAGTAATATAGATATCAGGGCACTATCACTTTCAAATTTCATCGCACCATTGGTGCTGTAAGTTATTTAGATTTAATTTATTCTGAATTTGAATAAATTTAAGACATCCAGGACTGAAATCAGTTTCAATATATTACTAAAAAATTTGCGAAAATATTTCCGAACTTTCTATCTCGCTCTTACGTCAACGTGAGACGACTATCATTTCTGCTGGACAACATTTTTGAACCGAATGTTAGGCTACTGCATTGCAAGTAGAATGTTCACAGCTGACATCAAATAAGATTCAAGCCAAAACTCCAAGGTCGTCAACAACATTCGTACCATGTTGTCAAGCATGAAATCTTGCAATTCATACAAGATTGTAAAATAACAACATAGTCGATTTACTTCAAATTTAATATTAGTTAGACAATGACCTAGCACAAGCATGAGATCTAACCTTGATTTCGACCTCGACGAAGGTCTTGCCATTGTAAACTCCTACGATAGAGCCGACCATCTCGGGCAGGACGATCATGTTACGGAGATGAGTCTTGACGACGGCAGGCTTCTCGAAGGCAGGGCACTCCTTCTTGGCCTTACGCAGCCTCTTCAGGAAGGCGACGTGCTTGCGCTTCAGACCGCGGCTGAGGCGACGACGCTGGCGTGCTGAGAACAGGTCCATCAGCTGCTCCCTGTGGGGTGTAAGGGACGACTTAGGAGAGGAATTATCAAGTATACAAATATAGTTAAGTTTTGAGTGCAAAACGAGGGAAGAATAAATGAGGTTAGCAGCTTATAAGAAGTCTGATTGAAAGAATAAATAGTGATGTTCAAAATGGGGAAAACTCCCTCAAAAATTTAATAGCCGGAACATAGAAAGAGGTGAAATAAAAACTTGGTTTCTCCACCAAATTCTGAGCAATATATATATGTTTAATAATCACTCGTTCCCACTTATTTACATTATTCAAAATACAAGTTTGTAGCACTAAAAATTTCTCATACGTATTTGAGGGTAGTGTTAAAATTTTCATCAATCTAGCGGCAGATTTCATCAATTCTTTGCTAAAAAGCCAGATATGTTTCAAGCAAATACTTTTAGTCTATAACTACACACACTCAGCAAAAAATGTCCAACTAAATGACATCATACGTAGATAACATTAACTCATCTGACAATGAAGCCATCAAACAACATAGCTACACACCGGGCTGAAAATTTGACCATTTATTTAACAGAAAAAAAATTCAATGCCATTAATTTTTCCACAATGTGTTCTACTCCAAGTTAAAGTAAAGTGTAAACAAATACAACCACTGTAGTCTGTATTAAATACATTTTATTTAAATCATAGCAAGCCACACCATAAGTATCCCCAATTTTCACATCAGTGGAAGTTTAACGTTGAGACCTTAATATTGCAACTTGGTACAACTGAGGAAGTTTGACATGAAACAGCCATCTTGACTCCATTAACCCTGTGGTAGTGAGCAAGAATGGAGCAAGTAAGCCAGATGCAGACGTCATCTTCAGTTCAAAAACCGTGGTAAATTAGAAACGTAAAATTAGCACACTTCAAATGAAACAATAGGTATATCTGGCATACATTTATATGTATGATACACAAACAGGATCTCAATTACTCACGTGCTCATATCCAGAAGCTGGTCCAAGTCCACCCCACGGTAGGTGAACTTTTTGAACACACGATCTTTCTTGACCTGGCCCTGCAAACAAAGAAGTACAGTTTAGATAAAAGTCATTAATGGGCGCTGTGTCATCAAGAGCGCTAACTAGGCAAGTCAATTGTGCAATAAGTTTGCTCCACTATATCAGAAAATACTGGGGGCAGAATAGTAACACAAATATGTTATAATCTCAACTTGATCAACATCAAGAATAAGTTAATCTTTTAGATAACAGTGAAGTTCCCATAGTTAAAAGTTTAAAACTCCCAGCAAAGAAGCCTGCCACTATTCCTGCTTAATGTTTGAGTTGATGTTATAATGCCCCTGCTAATAGCAAATTGTATCATTTTTCAGTTTCATATTCACAAATATGAAACCTGCTTTTTCCAGAATTGAAGTTAGCATTGTAAGCAGTATAGCCACTTGTACATCAAAATTGACACTTTCTGTACTCTATTAAAGATAGAAGAACCAATATTTAAAAAAGAAACATAAGTAACTTGGTGTTCAGTTGCCAATAGTGAATACTAGTGATAAATTGAATCTAATCAAAGCAAAACCATTTCAATTCATAAATCAAATTTACTGGTCTTGCTCCAATATTTGAAAACTATCTCAGATGCAGTTATTTTCTCAATAAATTTTGAAACATGAACCTAGCCCACATTATTTTTTAATATACATACATATATGCAATGTCAGATGAAAAAGTTCAGTTTGGATTCTATATATGTTCTGGAGTTTTCAGCCAAGTACACACTAGTAAAATCACTTCAGTTTTAGCAGATTTTTAAGGGGTGTGTCTCGCTTAAAATTTATCTCAGTAATTTACAGAGGGATCAATCTGAAATTTGGTACACATGTGTAAACCCTAAAATAAAACAGGTTTTATTCATGTCAATTTTTTGTAAAAATGGAAAAAAACGTAAAATTCTTAGAAAACGACCAAAAAGGGGTACTTTTTTTTTAATTTCTCATTTTTGTGAGTGTGGGAGCATTTTGTCTGAAATTTTTGATTTTACCTCCACTTTCCCACCTTTTGGCAACATAAAATCCGAACTATAACGAACTTAGAAAAACCCATACACAATTTTGTAGATCTTTCATTTGCAAATCAAACGGTATATGTCTCATTGACGTAGCTTCAAAACTCTAGGAGGAGATAGGTTTTCCGTGACAATAAGTGTGAATGTTGAGGAGAGCGCGACAAAGNCTATGAGAGGCAGGAGCCAGCAATTTATGGTGAGTAAAGCTAGAGTATAGACCTGTATTTTGCACGTTTCAATTTAAGTTTAACTTATCTAGTAAAAAAATGGCATCATTATGAATAAAAAAAGTGGTCAAAATTACCCCATTTTACGGTATGCAAGATGGAAGACATCCAAAAAATATTTAACAAAATTGGGGGCAGGTATCATTACAGACAAGGTTGTCACATGACACAATAACTTGTGGCATTTAGGGTTAAATGATACAAGTTGTTCTTGGCAGATGCTACTGTTGACTTTCTGCTGTTCAATATAAACCATATAATATTGATAAGAATCTAGACAGTTAAATATTATTAGTATGGTATTGCCTTAAAAAAAATCAAGAATTGCCATCTATTCAAGCTTTACTTAGTCTGCAGTCTGCACCCAAGAAATTGTTAAATCAATAGCAAGTATGGATGGTGACCTCATTTATTGGCACCATGACTCTTAACCTTGAGTTCATTTTCACCAATATTCCAATTTGGGGCTACTGCCAATTGGCAATACCTGGCAGATGTTTCTTACAGTTGTGGATAAAAAAAAGCAGTTTCCCATTTTGTTAAAAAATAAAGAAAAGGCCATAGAAACAGCCGAACAGGTGATATTGGCCAGATTCATTTGTGTGTTTGCTCAATTCATCACAGGTATGGAATATTTCTACTTGGCAAGCCACAACTACATTTTTTGTGCCATGGTTTTATGGATTTGCCAGTCAAAATTTCATTTCTTTGAGCTGTGACTCCATTTCTTCAAACCGTGATTTCCATATCTCACTCCTGAAAAGCCATTTATGAGCCACAAACTTGTATACAAATTTTGTGCACATGTTATCCAAAATCTTGAATTTTACCCTAAAAAAAACAGCAAAACTGACATTTGTCTTCACTTGAGTGACAACTGAACACATGATATTGCAGTCTGACTGCTCTGATGAGACTGCAGCTGTGTTAGGGACTTAGGGTAAACACACCATATATTCAGTATTCCAACACATCAAGGACGTACCAATAAATGAATGGCTATAAAAAGATCACCGTATGCACAACTTGAGTTCTGATTGCTTTACATCACTCTCAAAACACCACACTACGCACCAGCAACAATGAAACGCCACAAATTGTTGCCATATTTATTTAAAAGCCTTTAGAATTCAAATTGACAAAATCCCTGAATTCCAATGCTGTGTGTGACTAAATTCAACACATTGTGAGACTAATTCCAACAGCGCTTCTAACTTTTACTAAATTTACTAATTCGTAATTCCGACACCCTGGTTTGGAATTCAGATGCCCTGTGTGAGCTGTATCAGAATACGACGCAGAATACGACGTAATGTAATAAGACGTCATTACATTATGTTCTGCAAGATATTTGAGGGAGAGTTCAAGTAATGCAGATTGCACCATCATTGCTGAAGTTGAAAATTTTATGAAACAACATGTTTGCAAAGTGCAAACTGCAATTTTTTCAATCAAACAACAATACATGACATTAGAGCCACAAAATTTCACACATAGGGTAAACGCGGTATATTCCGTCACATTAAGGACGCATCGAGAAATGAAAAGCTATAAAAAAATAACCGTATGCGTTACTCAAGTTCTGTTTGCTTTATGTGACTCTCAAAACACCACACTACGCATCAGCAACGACAAAACGTCACAAAATGTTGCCAGATTTATTTAAAAGCCTTTAGAATGCAAACCTACCAAATCCCTATATTCCATCACTGTGTGTGGCTATATTCGGCACGTGGTGAGGCATATTCCGTCCGCGCTTCNCGTAGAGAGGGAAGTGTGGTATCCGTGTGACTGTCTCTTATACACATCTAGATGTGTATAAGAGACAGGGAGGATGTCGGTGATGTAGTCCCAACATTGGCATGCAGGATCGTACTGTTGACATACAGGTTCATACCCTACTTGCCGCAACCAGTCCAGTCATTCATTAGAAGGCACCGATGGCACATCTAAAGCCATGTTGCCTTCTTTAGTTCTGTAATTCATGTCCGATAGAATTGTGATCTATGAATGAATATTTATTACTGTGCTGACTCTTAGAACCTGAGTCCTGACTCCTGAGTTGACGGACTTGACGCATTAGCAATCTGGTTAACTCGTATCCAACCACAACACAGTGCGGATACACGTTTGTGTGTACGGTCAGTGTGATTATGTAATTTGCATTGCCGCGCGTCCATATTTAAACTATTTTAGCTTTCTTAAAGTACAGCGCTGTTGGCGCACGGCGAATTTTTTTAACGACATAGTACGGCGCACCGCACAGGTTGTTAAAATGACAAGATAAATTCCTGCGCACCTGGCACATCTTCCTGACCATGGTTTTCTAGTATAGAGGCTTAGAGCTAATGGAAAGCATTAGCCTAGGTGATAAGGTAGTATGCAACATTTTAGGCTAGTTCATTTTAAAATCAATTTCAGACTTTCAGTAGTAATAAAAGATTAAAATTTTAGATAGCCTATATCATTTCTTCTATTTATACCTAGGTATAGGCCTATTGTACCAGATTTTATACCTATTTTGCAACCTTTTAAGCCAAACCAACTCATTATAGCTAGGTAAGTTTTGAATAGGCAAAAATTGGTGTGCACACAGCACACACCTAAAAATAAAATAGGCCTAGGTAAGCAGAATATAAGCACAATTACAAAAATCTAAATGACGATGCCAAACTACCTACTACTAAAAAAAAACTACTATTCTTGCAGACAATTTGCTCAGTAGGTAGGTATACCTACCTACCTTATTAGGTAGCTAGGCGGACGGTTGAAAAAATATTCCATTGAAATGCACGCACAAGAATAGAATTTTATAATTTGTTAAATACCACAAAATTAGAATAGAAGAGCAGTAAAGTAAATTAAATCTACAACTTTAATATAATAGCAACAGGTTCAAAAATATCTCGACTTAAACACTACGTCAATAGAGGTAAACAGCAATGGGATGTTGACGTTTTTGTTACGAAAAAACGCAAGGTTATACAAGTTAATAACTGCACTGAATAGAACGTAAATGGTCAACAAAATATGAGAAATTATATTAACACTCACCTCAACCATGTTTGCAATTTCTCGAGTTTTTCTCTTAATATAAATCTAACGTAAACACGCACAGCCTCACAGCACTACCAGCGTTTAGGTGTAGACATTTTTAATGGTTCTATCCAAAATTTTCGTCAGAGGGGATAACTTTCGGATCAGTTTTGAGTCACCCGGTTCAAAGAACTGAATAAAACCGTAACTCAAATTGAATTTTATCCAATTGAATACGAAAAATAAGAAATTATTTACAATGAATATGAGGATCTATTAGGTGAATTCTGTTAATATTTTGAGAGAAAATTCATTATATAACACGCAGATGAATACGACACACTGCGCCATGAGTGTTAACTAGCAATAAATATGTGCGACAAACGCAATTTATTAGTAGACTAATTTTCTATATCATAATCGGTGTATATTCAAACTCACCGGCGAACTCGGAAAACAAATGGATATCAATTTGAAACTGATATCTATGAAATTGAAAACGTAACTAAATGAAAACTATTCGGTTAGTTAGGAATTCTTAGAAAATCCATTTAGAATTGACAGATTTATGAGCTGTTGACTTGCGAAAATTTTGCCTTCATGTGTATGAGTGTAAGTCGCCTCACGGACGCCTCTTACAGCGGCCGGTCAAGCGGTCAGAGCGATCAGTCTCGTGGCCGGTCTACAAGGTTAAGTGAACATGAAATATCTCACAAACTAATGAACGCAGCACGATGAAACTTAGCACATGCATTCATTAAGGCGTAACGGTGATGTTTAGGTCGGTAGCGTTTATTCCATTTCACCTTCGTTTCCAACTTGTGCGGTCATACGGGCCAAAATTTACAGTTGGCATAAATTATTTTCCACACTACTGAACATATATGAACGAAACTTTGGATATGCATTCCTAGTCGCCCAACGATGAATGTAAGGTCTGTCTCTTATACACATCTAGATGGCAGTGGTACCGTTGGATAGNCGGTCGCTGTATCCCGGTAACGAACGGTCGCTGTATCCCGGTAACGAACGGTCGCTGTATCCCGGTAACGAACGGTCGCTGTATCCCGGTAACGAACGGTCGCTGTATCCCGGTAACGAACTGTCGCTGTATCCCGGTAACGAACGGTCGCTGTATCCCGATAACGAACGGTCGCTGTATCCCGGTAACGAACGGTCGCTGTATCAGGGCAACGCACGATCTCTGAACCACGATAGCGTAGATCTGAGGGGTTTGGTACTGAGGGATTTTAAATCCTATAATATCTCTAGTAATCACTACAGATGTCTGTATCTCGATAACGTACGATCACTGCATCACCGCAACACACAATCGCTGTATCACTGTAACGTCCGATCATTGTATCATGGTGAAACACGATCACGACATCACGATAACGTACGATCGCCCTATCACGATGAAGCATGGCCAACAGAAATGTACGATTGCTGGTTCACTATGACACACGATCTCTATTTCACGATAAAGCACGATCTCAATTTAACGATGACACACGAACCAAGAAGATTGACCGGGAAAGATTGATTTTGTACCGTAAAAAAATATCGTTGCACTTCCGATCCGTTTACCTCGCCCTTAGCTCTGCACTGGCATTATCTTTTTTTATGTGGCGTATTTTTAACACGTTTTTAACACGTTTTTCTTAGCTTAGCTTCGCGTTTGTTTGTTGTTAACATTGACAACGAAAATTAGCCCACTTCTGATTGCTCTAGAGATCTGAAATTCGGCATGCAGGCTATTTTCGTCCAACTGCCGCTACTTCCCTCCTAAGGTGCGTGGTACACTTCACCAACTGCCGCTACTTCCCTCCTAAGGTGCGTGGTACACTTCACCAACTGCCACTACTTCCCTCCTCAGGTGCGTGATACACTTCACCAACTGCCACTACTTCCTTCCTAAGGTGCGTGGTACACTTCACCAACTGCCGCTACTTCCCTCCTAAGCTGCGTGGTACACTTCACCAACTGCCGCTACTTCCCTCCTAAGGTGCGTGGTACACTACACCAACTGCCACTATATACTTCCCTCCTAAGGTGCGTGATACACTTCACCAACTGCCGCTACTTTTTCCACCTCCACTAAGGTGCACCAACTGCCACCACTTCTGTTTCCATGGCAACATGAAGGGAAGTACATATATTTATTATCATTAATTATGACCTCTACGAAGAAGGTTTATATTTGGCATTGAGAAGTGTGGCATAAATCTTGATGTGCATGAACATGCGAGCATTATCCTACTGTGTGTGCAGATCCCAGGCTACAGCGTGGAGATGTGGGCGAAGTCTCTGCAGGATTACGAGTATCCTGCAGGACCAGCGTGGAAGAAGCTCTACGCAGAAGGAAAATTCCCAGACCCCGCCATGGAGAAATGCCCCCTAGTCGAGCGTCCCATTGAACGCATCTCCAAGCGATAGGACGATGCACTAAATGATTGGTACAGGGAAATTTATATTATGTTTGATTAGTTAAAATTTCTAATTTCTACTTAGTTATGGTCACTGCTAACCTTATTTGGGTGAGGAACACATTCGGTGATAGTGGTTATTTCTTTATGTCAGAAAAGTCTGGGGGTTTGCCGAAATATTAGTAACTAATCTAGGATTCAAAATATACAAGTCGAGGGGAAGGGATCTTAAAATACCACCAGCAAATAGTCTGATTCTCAAACTATATCTCATCTCAAAATATATAAATATGTAAATTGTCGCGTCCTTTATGCGTGCGACATGCACTTTTCGATTGTAGCCTTAATTACGGCGCGGAGCTGTAAATCGGGATCTCAGCCGTCTGCCGTTTATTACTGATTTTGCTGTTGCTAGTAGTAGAACTTTCGCTAAACTACTCCTTTGGCTAATTTACTATAATTATCTCGTTCATTTCTTGTTCATATTATCGTAGTCGGTTTACAGTTCTCCTCTGTGAAGTAAAGTCTTCCTCGACAGAGTACAGTAGGCTTAAATTTTCCGTTGACAACTTACGAATTTAAAGTCATAGGGCACACCATCCACGTTAGTTCCTATGGATTTGTAACTGTTGCCACATGTATATTTATTTCAGCCGAAAGTTATGTGATGCTTAGATATTGGTTTATTAAATACCCTTGTAGATTTATCGTTCGTCAAATTCCCAAATTTATGATTTCGTTTGTTCTGATGTGCGGAATTTTGTCCCGCAATTTACAGAAGGTAAAGGAAACAAATGAAGAGTGAAAAGTATTTTCCTTTCCATTATCTCTGCTTGGCATTATGAGCTGGACTTTTGAATTCTAGCCAGAACATAAATACATTCCCATATAATAATGAATTTACGTGCTTTTATTCTGAGCTTCAGAAAATTACTAATTTGTAGCCTACTCATAATATACGAGGCATGTTTTATAAGTAAGGAGCGTTTTGGAATTTAAAAAAGACGTGCATAGATATTGCAATAATTTTATTTTTACATGAAAGCCTGTACCTTAATCTACTTTTTCACATAATTTCCGTGAATATTGAGGCAATTGTCATAACGTAGCACCAGTTTTTGAATACCCTTCTGATAAAATTGTGCCGCCTGACTTGGAGATGAAACTCTGCTGAAATTATGAATTCTGCTGGAATGAAGGAGAAATTCTGCTGAAAAACGCCTGAAAATTATTCTTCTTGACGAGTCAGGTGGCATAATTTCAGGCGTTTTCAGTAGAATTTCACCTCCAAGTCAGGCGGCCGAATTTTATCAGGAGGGTATTCAAAAACTGGTGCTATGTTATGACAATTGCCTCAATATTCACGGAAATTATGTAGAAAAGTAGATTAAGGTACAGGCTTTCATGTAAAAATAAATATTGCGTTAACTTTGCACGTCTTTTTTAATTCCAAAAAGGTCCTTACTTAAAAAAACTTGCCTCGTATTAGCTATGTAAGTATCAGAGGTCTTATATTTCTATAACGGTCTTGGGTCTCAAAATATCAGTAGTCAATAACACAGTTAAGGGTTTTGGGTTTCAAGATATCAGTTGCGGAGGTCTGCAGTCTTTATCTCTTAGGGTACGGCCAGACTAAAAGCGAGAAAGCTGAAGCGCGCGGAAGCTTGGAGCGCGCTGACGTGTGTAGGTGGCCAGACACAACGCGAGGTGGCGCGACCAGTCAAAGAAAATTTTCAACAATCGCCTACCAAGAGCCCGGCGATGCGTTGAGCACGCGTTTTTCATTATAAATAGAATAGAAGAGTCGACACTGAAGAAATAGGCCTATTGCCTGTTCGATTCTTGTAATTTTCGTGACTTGATTCACAAGGGATCCGGCCTTTGGAACCCGATCTTTCCATAACTGACGATTAATTGAGATAGCTGCTGGACTTATTGTTATCGATATGGTGAATTTTCTTGGCGTTTTCTTTGCTTTTAAATTCCTTGTGAACTTGCGATATAAGCAGACTAATGATATAAGTACTTATATATCATCTATTTATAATAATAATAGCGGTTTCAGCGTTATTAGGCCGTAGGCCTGTCACCGATTCTTAACATCGCAGAACATTCACAGCATTTTTGCGGTCTCGAACTCGCAACTCACTGCTACAATTCTGCGCACTGCTTAATCGCCCGGCCTCCTTGCCGATTCTGACCAGAAACTGGCGCACAGAGCTGGGATCGAACCCGCGCCTCTTTGCTCCAATCTTAGTACTCTGAACTTTAACCACTGGGCCACCCTGCCGTGTGAACTCATCAAAAAGTCTTAGAAAAAAATATAGAGGTGAAAAGCTAGGATCCTTAGAAAATTTAGGTTTAACATTCAACGCTTACCCAGTAAGTCCATTTAAGCTTCGTCTTTTGAAATCTAATCATACATGTACTGATCAGTGATCAACTGATGTAGCTACCACTTGTCTCAGGTTCCACAACCTCAAATTTTTGTTTTGTTACGTGTTACAGCATCGTTTGTTTTTTATGAATTATAATATGCTCATATGCATCTAAAATGTTTCAATGAAATATTTATTTTTACGTTATTAATAATTTTGGTATTTGCAATTTTTATGGGACACTTACTGTTGGAAGCACAGACCCGCTGCAGGCGCTGCTGTAACGCTACCGCTGCGAATAAGTTTAGATTGGTATCGGCTCTAAATACAATAAAGAAAATGGAAAAGTCAATTAAAAAATTTATTTAAGCAGAAGCTATTATATTATATCCATAGACATTTTCAGCGAAAATTTTTAACTTCGGTCGTAAAAACATTTATTAAAAAAATCGTATATAACTTTATTTGTAACAAAAATTGCATTACTTCGAGATGCATAATTAAAATACGATGAATATATGGCATTTACTCTTTTATGTTTATGGATTTTGAGATGGTTGGGTTAGTGTTACATTGTAATTGTTGTTTGCTTGTTGCCAGGCATGGAAGGCATCTTCGTCAACGGCTTTATTTACAATCAACGGCTTTATTTACTTTAAATTATTGTGACAAATTGAGTCCTTCAATTGTGGAAAGATTTGTAATCGGAAAAATTCTAAAAATGAATGAAATAAATATTAAAGTGAACTAGCATTATGATATGGTCATATTATGTTATTGTTCAATCATATTTTCACGGTAAAATTCAATGGTTCAACAACAAGTCATTGTCACATTGAACATTGAAAAAAAATTCTCCATTTATCTGAAATATGGAACGTTTCAACATATATTGAAGGCATAACGTTTTACTAAGAAAATAATTAATTGATTTGAAGGACATGCAAGGTGAAAGAACTACGAGCAAGTCGGACCTAACGACCCCATGCGTCCTCCATATGAAGCTTGCTTACGTGATGCCTTAGCTGCAGGATACTTACAGTTGCTAACCGCATCCCTTCAGTCGGTGTCCGTGTTGGTGGTGGAGAGTTAGTTGCTGCCCAGTGAGAGAAGGATTTTATAAGTTCCGTTAATAACCTAGCAAAGTTTATTCGTACAGTGTAAATTTTAGGTAAATGGCGGATGATCCCATGGGATGTACTTGTTAAATTTAACACCTTCTGCCAACATTGGATTTCAAACTCTGAAAACATTTATGGTTTCTTAGCAATAACCGTACGAAAGTTGACTTGATTTGAGTTCTTGCTACAACGTACATGATTATATTGTTTTAAAATTGATTACTTTAGCAGCAATTCGAAAATTACGTTAGCAGCTGTTCGTGAAGCACATGTGTCCTGAACACGTTTGTGAACGCAGCAGCGCCCATTGGTTTGACGTCAGCATCCTGTCTATATATGGTACCGGAGCAAATTGCCTCAGCGGATGGATGAGCTATAGTATGATTACGTAGTAATTAAAACAACTGTGAACTACCCAGTAGCATGGGGAGGTCTTGGTTTTGTTTGCACTTCACTTTGTGGTTTCTTCTGGTCACATCGCGACCTTGTTTTACTAACACAGCAGTGTTCTGCAGGTTTTTATCTAATTTTCATTTATCTGCTATATTTATTCCTGAAGGGCACTTCCAACATCACATGCATATATGGTGTATTAATTTGGTGGAACATCAATGTTTACGTGTGTGCCTGTTAAACTGTTCGTAGATTTTTGAGTATTTTTATTTGAGAGCGTTTATTGCGCGCGCAAGTGAAAACAACAATTTTGTATGCTACAATATATTCTCAAAATGACGTGCTTAAGATAAGAAAGATTAGATAACAGCGTCGGCACCTTGCAGCATAGAAACACAATAACAGTAAAAACTACTGTTCCCAATATAATAGTACGAAAACAACTTTGCATATAATTGGAGAAAAATGCAGAAGCTTTTTCACAGCATTTATACAACCCAGTATATATCAGTGTTTAAGCACAACAGCGTTAATAATGGAGCTTGTATAAAACGTATGTTTCCCTGCGTTTGTTTGCAAAATAAATATTTCAGTTATATTTGCTCATCAGCAGAGAAGATTATGCTGCATTAAACGCATGCATCCAACATAGGCAGACTATTGTGGTATAGGATTTTGTTCGAGCATACAGTTCTCTTTAGCTTCTTGCCGGCTTATCACCGATACCGGGAGGCAGGACTCTCGGCGATAGCTTTGCTTATCAATGATAAGCGGTACTTATTTCCAGGGGACATGATTAAATAATGCACAAGTTTCTTGCTAGTTGTCATGGTGCTTACCATGAGTGGTGTGTGGTGACCGTGTGAGGTGACCTATGAGTATGACCGTGTGACGGGAAGAAGGAAGTGATGTAGTGAGGGAAGTGTGGTGACCGTGTGATGTAGAGAGGGAAGTGCGGTAACTGTGTGACGTAGAGAGGGAAGTGTGGTATCCGTGTGACGTAGAGAGGGAAGTGTGGTGACCGTGTGACGTAGAGAAGGAAGTGTGGTGACCGTGTGACGTAAAGATGGAAATGTGGTGAGATTCCATAAGAAATTTCATTGTTCATAATAAGTTTGTTTGTTCAGTGGCAAGTGTCAGCTGCAATGTGGCTGCCACCCCCACCAGCGCTGCCGCTGAGCAGGCTGCAGTGCCTGGGGTGCAAATGTATGCTGTTCACCCAATTCTTAAACACCTTCTATTATCATTCTATTATCAAATTTTGATTGTTGCGTAGAAGTGAATCCCGATTTAATCCTGTATATGTTCTGTCTGGGCAGAAATAAGCAAAATAATAATTGATACACTTTTAGACCACTTCAGCCCACTCTTAGCCCACCTCTGTCCACTTTCATCCCTCTTCAGCCCATATATAGCCCACCTCTGTCCACTTTCATCCCACTTCAGCCCACATCTTAGTTACCTCTGTCCGCTTTCATCCCACTTAGGCCCACTCTTAGCTCAACTCTGTTTACTTTCAGCCCACTTCTAGCCCATCTCTGTCCATTTTCAGCCCACTTATAGCCCACAATGAGCGACAACTTCGCAGCGACGCGCGTGCGGGCGCTGTCGGTGCGCGACATTCGCTTCCCTACATCCCTCGAGAACGTCATTAATGCGTAGGAGTGACCAGTTAACTTGATCTTGGTGAAAGTGATGCCCTCAGTGACGTACAAACAGCCTGTGTATTGCAGGTTTTGCTATAGCGCTTAACTCACGTATCTATAATGTAACAATATTATATTGTTCACTGCCCTATGTTCAGGCGGTGAAATAACATTATTATACGAAAAATATATTAAAAACATATGAAATATGTTATATGATAAATAACATTGTTGTGCTGTTCGACAAAAGATCTCGCAGGTTTGAGCGATGAAAAAAAATGTTACGCTGTTTGGACGTTACGGGAAAACCTTCTTAACTTATTTCGATGAGTTTAATTGGGTCTACTGCAGGCGTCGTCTTATGTGTAGAGTGACGACTTGCGTCTCATTTCATATAAAACATCTCTGAACAACAGCACGCGAGTAGTGTGAAAAAATAAATTTGTTTTCTGCGTTTTTCATGCACTGGCGGCATTCTTAAATTAATACGTTAATTGATTTTCATTTTATTTTTATTGTGTTTTATATGTTATCATTTCAATCATGAAATCCTTGAACCGAACCTCGACTAAACTCGGTTCCCGCGGCCCACGTCCCCGTGCCGCCGTCATACACTCAGAAAAATATATGGTTAAGATTATTAGAAATTGACACACGTTCGCACTTACAACACTATCAAAATGTAGACGTAGCACTGTTACGTAATTTCGCTGAACCAAACTGAGAATGGATGACCCTTACAAGGATAAAAGGTGCATCACTATCTGGACTATGACTATTTCTATTTCTCAGAGTGTAGCGGCAACATTTTAGGACTATTTCTCAGAGTGTATATATATATTTTTAGGACTATTTCTCAGAGTGTAGCGGCAACATTTTCCGGTAACAAAAGAGGCTGAGGCGGCCGAGGTTCCATCGAAGTCCGATTCTTCGCTATGGGCAGTTGTTTGCTTCCTAATGAGCACCGGGACCATCGTATTCGAAGTACGATATCGTAAATGCTCGCGCAGATAATGAAGTGAGCCTGTCAAGTGAAGAGGCGTTCCAGTTAATTCACAATCTTGAAGAGCATTAGAGTTTCTGTAGAGAACGTTGTTTCCACTGTTCGATACCTATTCACAATTGCGGCGGCAACAAATAATGGAAAAATATTGTTTTACCATTCTTGTGGGAATTTCGAGGCCTAAAAATAATGTCGTTTTTCTCACGTAATGTAATTAGCGCAGGTTATTGTTAAATGAGAAATAGTGAATACTTACGAGAAGTTAGTAAGAATAATGTATGACGACCACACTCGTAATAAATTTTGTTTCAACCCAAAATTTAAGCCATAGGATTTGCCCCGATATCTATTTTTCTTCATAAAAATGAGCTTCATTGGTGGATGGAATAACCAACTTTTGACAGGAGTGTCGTCGCGGCTGAGGTTAATGTATGTCTCCGAGTATTATGTATTTTTCTGATAATTCAAAGCCTAGCAAATCGCACGAATTATTCTATTGAATCTCGAAAATTTTGTATTATTAACTATAACCAAATGAACCGGTTGATGCTGTTTCATATGCACTCTGTCACTCCCTGTTACAACACAGGTTTATAGATAGGGAGTTTTAGAAATAGGGAGAAAGTAATAGAGTTTGTGAGATAGGTAGAAAGATAGGGAGTTTGTGAGATAGGGAAAAAAATTTCAGCGCTTGATGCTGCACAAATATCTGAACTATTTCTTTCTAGTGTGTGCGACAATTCTTTGTAGTGAAAAATTCTTGGAACCACAGCACCCTATTTTGTTAGTGCTTTACCTGTGCTTTACAAAGACGTGTCCCTCTGAGCAGCACAATATTCATGTCTATTGTTCGTGTGTAATGAGTACTTCACCTGTGCCTCACAAAGACGTGTCCCTCTGAGCAGCACCCGGACCCCGACTACTCGTGCGCGTACGTGACGCTCTTCACGGACACGGACTTGCGAGGACACGGACTCTGCTTCACCCTCGGGCGGGGAACGGAGCTGGGTAAGTGCTGGGTGAGTGATGGGTGAGTGATGGGTGAGTGATGGGTGAGTGATGGGTGAGTGATGGGTGAGTGATGGGTGAGTGATGGGTGAGTGATGGGTGAGTGGTGACAACGTTACCACCTGTGCAGTGGTGAGCGCGGTGAAGTCCCTGGCGCGGCTGGTGGTGGGGCGGCCGCTCAGCAAGCTCTTGTACGGCAACATGCGCGCCACCTGGCACTCCCTGGTGTCTGAGAGCCAGCTGCGGTGGGTGAGTGGTGGGTTATGGGTGAGCCAGCTGCGGTGGGTGAGTGGTGAGCCAGCTGCGGTGGGTGAGTAGTGGGTGATGGGTGAGCCAGCTGCAGTGGGTGAGTAGTGGGTGATGGGTGAGCCAGCTGCGGTGGGTGAGTAGTGGGTGATGGTTGAGCCAGCTGCGGTCGTTAGTAGTGGGTGATGGGTGAGCCAGCTGCTGTGAGTGAGTAGTGGGTGATGGGTGTCGGGTCACCAACCCCCCCTCGGTTGGGCCGAAGAGGGCGTAGTGCAACTAACGGTGGGTTGTCGGATGCCCTCCTGGGTGTGCAGGTGGAGCCGGATAAGGGTGTGGTGCACCCTGCTGTGGGTGCTGTGGTCAGTAACCCCCCCTCTCCCCCACTGGGTGGGCAGATGGTAATTAATTAACCCTCGTGGGTGGGCAGGTGGGGCCAGAGAAGGGTGTGGTGCATCTTGCTGTGGGTGCTGTGGTCAACGCGCTGTGGGATCTGTGGGCCCGGCTGGAGCGCGTGCCGCTGTGGAAGCTGCTCGTGGACATGGACCCACAAGTGCTGGTCAGCACCATCGACTTCACGTACATGTGAGTGGTGCACGTGTGTGTGAGTGATGAACGTGTGTGTACGTGGTGCACGTGTGTGCGAGTGATGCGCGATTGTGTGAGTGATGTTACTGATGTACGTGCGTACGAGCAACATTGCTGCACACAAACGCTGTTGTGCTCGAGTACAACGGCGTCTCGAGGTATGTTTTTTTTATCAACATTTAATTGATGGAACGTTACACCCATCAGCGTTTCTTTGAACTGCCGACGATTTTTCCAGATGTGAACGTTTTTTTTCTCCCCTCTTCTTAGCTCCATGGGCGAGACGTTCAACAACCTCAGCCCCGCAACGGAAAGGGATTCCTCCCGCAGAGATTGAAATCTGACCGTAGCCCGTTACGTAATGGGGGGTACCCTGCCCACTCTCCTTCTTCTCTAGTATTATTATGTCACAATCCTGAAGGTCTCGGCTTCGAAGTTAAGGGCCAGTCTGGTTATTATTTTTCGTGTGCAAAAAAATTACATACCCCTCAAGCCTCCTCTGCAGCGAGTACAGACCCAAGCGCTCCAGCTTCCCTCAGTATTCCAGCTCTTCCATCCCACTGATCCTAGACTTGGAGGTTTGCAGGATTTCAAGTTGCTGCACTGAAGCCACCGCGAACGGGATACGTGCCAACAGTGACAGCAATATTCAAAGAGAAGGATCATGAAGGCTTTGAAGAGTGTGCTCATCTGTTTCTCTTGTTCAGAACGTCTGCAAGATCTATTTCATCTGACGCCTGTCAAATGCGGTTATTGCTGTCCTGTGATCATCAAACTTGGCCTGGGTACTCAAGATTCAGACACATTCGTCACCTCTGTATATCAGTAACTCAAACTTGGTGCTGTTGAATTCCTTGTTCACAGCCTTCTACCGTCTTTCTATCTGTAATTGTTGTCATCACCCTCGTGTCATCCGCGAATGACGACGTCTATGAGGAAGACGATCACATTCATGTTGATAATGTGAATGAGGAAGATGATCGGTCTAAGTACCGTAACTTGTGTTACTACACTTTTCACGCTCGCCTAGTTTTATAATCAACGCCAATATTTTTCATTCGACTCTCAGTAGTCTTAGTTTTCTGAAGAGCACTCTATGGCCAACTGTCAACTATGGGACCTTCTGCAAAGTTCAAACACCACGTCCACGCCAGCCCCCTTCTTCTGTTTGGCCATAATTTGGTGCCGATGGTCCAGTAACTGAAACACACGGGAGCAATTTCGCCTAAAACCGTGCTGTCTGCTGTGGAAAATGTCAGCTTCCTCTACGTACAGAACCAATCTCCTGGTTACGGCCTTCTGGATTACCCGGATCCATCCGTCACTAAACCTGCCATCCATCGACGTTTCTTTCGTCAATTGATGTTTCGTTCATCCATCAACGTTTGCTCGATGTTTCGACGTTTCTATCGCCCATCCATATTATTTTAATATCACGTTAATTTATTTGCAATACAAAAATAAACGTTTGTCATGGTACAACGCTGATCATGATCATGATACAATGATATTCATGTTACTGTGCACCTGCACTGCACGCAGAACGGACGCGCTGACGGAGCAGGAGGCGCTGCAAATGCTGCAGCAGATGCAGGAGGGCAAGCAGGAACGCGAGAACTTCATGCTGAAGAACGGCTACCCCGCCTACACCACTGCTGCAGGTACTGTGCTGTACTCTGCTTATACTGTGCTATGCTTGGCTGTCTCGATATTTTTTCACAGTGCTGTAGCCGCTCCTAGCTGTAAATAACGATTCTTGTTCTTCCTCTATGCTGTGCATTGCAGTGCAATTTCAACTCAACTAGTCACTTAGTGTCGCATATCGCGGAAGGCTGGATCTGGTACTCGGTAACTAGTTACTTAAAAATATCGCATATCGAGGCAGGCTGGATCGAGTACTCGGACGAGAAGATTAGGACGAAGTGCGAGCAGTTCCTGGCTCGAGGATGGCGGCACTTCAAATTGAAGGTCGGACTCGACCTGCAGCGCGACAAGGAGCGATGCAGGCTTGTGCGTGACATCATCGGTTTCTGCCGCCCCCTCTGGATCGAGGAACCCACCAGCCCTGATGACATCCTGGGGCACGCCACTATTGCCGATGTGGGTGGTCGCATCACACTATAATGGCGCATTTCGGTTATTTTAATTGAGGTTATTTATTCGGTTATTTAATACAGGTGCTCGTACTGTATTCAGTGAACGCGTCAACTAATTTAAGACACTTTTTCATGAGATCGCTTTGAGATCAGAAAAAGGTGGATAACATCGGTAGCATCTCCACCTTATTCGCCCACAACTTCCATCGGCCATAACATTCCCTCTTTAATAACCACAATCACCGTTGCCAGAGGCTTTTTCGGTCAAATTCTACTATTTATTTTTTTATAAGTTGCGATGGCCTGCAAAAATTTATCATGGCAGTATGGCGGTACTTCCTTCCTTATTGTATTTTACAGAATTCAAATTATGGAATTTGATTGTTTTCGTCGTAACCTCAAAATAAAATTATAATATTGAATTGTTAGCCTTTTCTGGCCTTTTCTGTGTGTACTTGCCATTTTTAGGCCTTCTGGCAACCCTTTTGACAATATGGTCCCCCATTGCAGGCGTTACGGCCCCTGGGCATCGGCGTAGCGACGGGCGAGGCCTGCCAGAACCGCGTGGTGTTCAAGCAGCTTCTTCAGGCCAAGGCCATCGACTTCTGCCAGATCGACGCCTGCCGCGTCGGTGGCGTCTCGGAGGTCTTAGCCATCTATCTTATGGCCAAAAAGTTCAATGGTGAGCGTCTGCGTCTACCGCGTGGCAAGGCGTCATGCGATCCTGAAGACGATTAAATGGCGTTTTTTCACTTCATCAAGTCGACAATATAATTCAGTTTAGAATAAAAATATTGCGCTATACTGTATAATAATAATTGCGTTGCGTTAATTTCTTGTTTTTTTTTTCCAGTGGAATAGGATGTTGATCAAAATTGAATGTCATTCAAAATTCTTGCGAAACTAGGATGTTTGAAAGTAGGACGTTGAAACTAGGTTATTCAAACCAGGAATTCATGTTTCCTCCACAGTGCCGGTGTGTCCCCACGCCGGAGGAGTGGGGCTGTGCCAGATGGTGCAGCACCTCCAGATGTGGGATTATGTGAGCTTGACTGGCACCACCAAGAACAGGGTCATTGAGTATGTACCACATCTCGAGGAGCACTTCAAGACACAAATAAATGTCACCAACTGCCGCTACTTCCCTCCTAAGGTGCGTGATACACTTCACCAACTGCTGCTACTTCCCTCCTATGGTTCGTGATACACTTCACTAACTGCCACTACTTCCCTCCTAAGGTGCGTGATACACTTCACTAACTGTCACTACTTCCCTCCTAAGGTGCGTGGTACACTTCACCAACTGCCACTACTTCCCTCCTAAGGTGCGTGGTACACTTCACCAACTGCCGTTACTTCCCTCCTTAAGGTGCGTGATACACTTCAACAACTGCCTCATGAACATGCGAGCATTATCCTACTGTGTGTGCAGATCCCAGGCTACAGCGTGGAGATGTGGGCGAAGTCTCTGCAGGATTACGAGTATCCTGCAGGACCAGCGTGGAAGAAGCTCTACGCAGAAGGAAAATTCCCAGACCCCGCCATGGAGAAATGCCCCCTAGTCGAGCGTCCCATTGAACGCATCTCCAAGCGATAGGACGATGCACTAAATGATTGGTACAGGGAAATTTATATTATGTTTGATTAGTTAAAATTTCTAATTTCTACTTAGTAATGGCCACTGCTAACCTTATTTGGGTGAGGAACACATTCGGTGATAGTGGTTATTTCTTTATGTCAGAAAAGTCTGGGGGTTTGCCGAAATATTAGTAACTAATCTAGGATTCAAAATATACAAGTCGAGGGAAAGGGGTCTGAAAATACCACCAGCAAATAGTATGATTCTCAAATTATATTTCATCTTAAAATATGTAAATTATCGCGTCCTTTATGCGTGCGACATGCACTTGTCGATTGTAGCCATACGGCGCGGAGCTGTAATCGGGATCGCAGCCTCCTGCCGTTTATTACTGTTTTTGCGGTTGCTAGTATTAGAACTTCCGCTGAACTGCTGCTTAGGATAATTTACCATAATTATTTCGTTCATTTCTTGTTCATATTATCGTAGTCGGTTAACTGTTCTCCTCTGTGAAGTAAAGTCTTCCTCGACAGAGTACAGTAGGCATAAATTTTCCGTTGACAACATACGAATTTAAAGACTTGGGCACACCATCCACGATAGTTCCTAAGGATTGGTATCTGTTGCCACTTTCATCATTTATTTCAGCCGAAAGTTATGTAATGCAAAGATTTGACTTATTAAATACCCGTCTAGATTTATCGTTCGTCTGATTCCCAAATGTATAATTTCGTTTGTTCTGAAGTGCGGAATTTTGTCCCGCAGTTTTACAGAAGATAAAAAGAACCAAACGAAGAGTGAACACTATTTCCCTTTCCATTGTCCATGCCTGGCATGTTGAGAATTAAAATTCTAGCCAGGACATAAATATATTCCTACATAATAAGAAATTTACATGCTCTGATTCAAAGCGTCAAAAAATTACTCGTTTGTAGCCTACTCCTCAAAATATGTAGCTTGATCGATCAGGGGTCTATATCTTCTGCACGGGTCTGTGGTCTCAAGACATCATCTGCAGGGGTCTAGAGTCTATTTCTATAAAGGTCTGGGGTCTCAAAATATCCCCCACAGGGGGTCTAGAGTCAGTATCACAGACAAGGGTTATGGGTTTCCAGATAGATATCACCTGCGGAGGTCTGGAGTCTTTATCTCTAAGGGTCTGGGGCCTCTAAATATTCCCCACGAGGGTCTGGACTCAATATCAGAAATGAAGGCTTGGGGGTGTCATGATAATACCTTCGGAGGTCTAGAGTCTTTATCTATAAGGGTCTGGGGTCTCGAAATATCCGTGACAGGGGTCTGGCTTCAATATCAGAGATGAGGGCTTGGGGGTGTCAAGATAACGCCTGTGGAGGTCGGGGGTTCCTACCTGAAAGTGTGACTCTGGTCAAGTGGTCATTAGAGCCGCGGTGTCGTACTACGATCGTTGGGAGTGTGAGCTCCCACTTCTCTACAGCCATTTTCATTCATCAGAGATTTCCACTAGTGTGGACAAATAGCTTAAGTCATTATTAAAGTGAGACGAACATTTTCGTTTGCTTCTTCATATTCTTTAGAAGTCGTCCCGTCGCGATGAATGGCGCACCCCCTTATCGATAAGAGAAAAAGGAAAAGTTTAAGATTTTTCTAACTCATTTGACCCTTTAGAGACTTTAGAAACTGCAAAATTATATAATTTAAAAATGGTCCAAACAACAAACGTGAAGCATATTTGAAGGAGTATACTCCATTAATTGAGCTCCGGCCTGGTGTGGTTCATGAATCACTACGCCTTCCCGGATTTCAAACGATATTAGTTAGTAAAGAGGAACAGTGCGCAACAGGAACAAAAAAGAGGAATAGGCCGCAAAATAAAAATTGTCTAAGTATGATATACATGGTGATTCACGGACATGTCCTGATTTTAAAGCCCAATAAAAAAGAACTGGTGAAGACTTCATTACAATATAAATTTTATTGAAAAGACATTACCTGAAATTTGTATCACTTAGTTTTAAAGATGACACTGGACAAATGACATCGGACCCCGTAAAAAACTCATACACTAACCCCATAAATAAAATCGGGTTCCGGTCAGGAACCCGACCTGAAGGACGAATGCGGATTCGAGTACGGAATGCTCGTTGAGTAGCGATAATGGAACGGCCATTAGAAAAGTACGCCTCGAAAGCAAACGCACGCTGCTCACTTGTCCAATGTATAGTGGCAACTGACTAGGCGGGACACAAAACTTCAAACCCTTCCGTTTCATATGAAATACCTTTCGACCTTTCCCTACAGCATCTAGCTGCTTGTCGCGAAATACAAAACAGGAGGTTTTTGTGTATCATCCTAGATAAAACGAGGAAATTTGTATTGTCCACTGGCAAGATCCGCGGTTTTTTGGCTATGTTGTCGTAGTGACTACAACCGCGGCCCCCTGGAGCGAGGGGGCGAAACAGGTGTGGACCAGCGCGAGTTGGGGATCGAAGGGAGGATATTCGTCGTGAGTTGGGGACCGAAGATAGGAAAGATATGGACTAACGCAAGTTAGGACCAAAGGAAGAATATGAATCATCGCGAGTTGGGACCGAAGGAAGAATGTGGATCATCGTGAGTTGGGACCGGAAGAAGATGGATCATCGCGAGTTGGGACCGAAGGAAGAATATGGATCATCGCGAGTTGGGACCGAAGGAAGAATATGGATCATCGCGAGTTGGGACCGAAGGAAGAATATGGATCATCGCGAGTTGGGACCGGAAGAATATGGATCATCGCGAGTTGGAACCGAAGGAAAAATATGGATCATCGCGAGTTGTGACCGCAGGAAGAATGTGGATCATCGCGAGTTGGGACCGTAGGACAAATGTGGATCATCGCGAGTTGGGACCGTAGGAAGAATGTGGATCATCGCGAGTTGGGACCGTAGGACAAATGTGGATCATCGCGAGTTGGGACCGTAGGACATATGTGGATCATCGCGAGATGGGACCGTAGGAAGAATATGGATCATCGCGAGTTGGAACCGTAGGACAAATGTGGATCATAGCGAGTTGGGACCGTAGGACAAATGTGGATCATCGCGAGATGGGACCGTAGGAAGAATGTGGATCATCGCGAGTTGGGACCGTAGGACAAATGTGGATCATCGCGAGTTGGGACCGTAGGAAGAATGTGGATCATCGCGAGTTGGGACCGTAGGACAAATGTGGATCATCGCGAGTTGGGACCGTAGGACATATGTGGATCATCGCGAGTTGGGACCGTAGGAAGAATGTGGATCATCGCGAGTTGGGAC